TATGTGTGCTGTGTATTATACCTATTGGTGTGGTAAAAGCCTTGCTACTTCACTTAAAGTGTTTTCTTAGACATGGCAAGTGACGGTGACATTAATTTCACAGTTTCCTTTGGAATGCTCTTAACCCTTTGTGTTGGCTATTATACACTGAAAGGTGCTTAATAAATTCAGTGTTGAAGAGCTACGTGAAATTGGTATTTTTGTATTCAGTGAGCTGCTTTTTTAAGATTAAAATACAATCTTCTATGCATTTCAGGTAATGAATGGCCTCATTTGAATTTAAATGCTCTGGAAGGAGCAGTTTGCTATTGCTGATTCTTTTTGGCATGGGAATACTGGATAAATAGAGTTTCCTAATAAACATTTGCTTTTTAGAGTAATCTACTTGGGCATGCCTCCCACACAAAGATTAGGTATAAAACTCCCACACTGTGAAAAGTGATCTTTTTAAAGCTAACAGTTTAAACTCAACATCAATGATTTTTAAAAAATTGAAGCCAAATAGAAAATACACATTAAATTTTTTAGTAAATAAAATTTTTTGGTATATGCAAATGAGATGTCTACCTGATGCATACTAGCTTAAGAAAATCTCAGATTTAAAATAAAAGTAAAAGCAAATTCTTCCATCCAAAGAGCTAACTTCTCAGCACCACCTTGTGGTAACTTTTAGTTAAACCAGGATGTTTTATTGGGAGATTTATGTTAATATTACAGTGCACAATGGAGAAATAGAAAGTATAGCTTTATTTAGAAATAGCTGCCTAATTTCTTTATTACCAAAGGGGAAAGTTAACACTTTTGTTTAATAGAAATGTTTTAGTTCATGTTACCAATAACCTATGTTTTGCGACAGCCCAAACACCTAGTTTAGGGACAGCGTGGTAGGAAAAATATTTCTTATATAGTAGCTATTCTATAAGTAGTAATTGAATGAATGGATTAAACAGAGGACATAATGTGAAAACAGTTGTATCAAGGTCATTGAGCACAGCTGTCTTGTCCCCTTTCCAAAACTGTATGAATTTGCTAAAGTAATAATTGTTTTAAAATGCATTCATGATAAAAAAGGAGTGCCATCCACTGACCAGACATTCCAATGACTCCTGACGGAAAGTAAACAGATGGGATTGATTGACTGAGAAACAATCTGGGAGAAGACTGCAGCCCACAAAACCCTGACAGGTGCAGCAGAGCTAGAAGCTATCATGGGGTTTGCTCCAAGCAAAGGGGACAGCAAGGAAAAGGAGAGTCTCAAAGCCAGCAATCCCAGGGCTGGGACCAACTGAGACTTCTGACCTTTCCCTAAAGTAGCAAGTGTAATGCTGATGTCAGGACAGTATACCAGCACCCAAGACAGCCAGTGACCCCAAGGGCCAGGGAGTCCCCAGTCTAAGAAGACAAGATGCTGGCACCCTCCTTTCAATCTCATTGTTCCCTGATAGTCTCCTAATGCTGGCTCCTGTCATGGGGACCTGCAGTCAACAATGGATAAACATCAAGTTTCAACCACCAGGATGAGCCCCAAATCAAGAGGTGCCAGATATTTGAAGGAAACTGCCACTGTGAAAGAGGCATTAGATTCAACGTACAGAACTGATACCCAAGAAACAGATGAAAATATTAAAATATGTGAAATTGATGATTCATTCAATTTATCCATTTAGCAAATACTTATTGAGCATTTACACATAGTAGAACCAAAGATAAGATTAAGAAAGAAGAAAATTTGGTGTAGATGAAATTAGAAGGGAAACTAATACAATTTGTAGTTATGTAAATCACTGGTGTATAATATAAAAATAAAAGCATGGTTCTAAAATTCTAACTATCCCACCATTACATAGGTAGAGAAGTAGAAGTATATAAAGGATAGTAGATATTGATTTGAATTAGGCTTTGATATAAAAACGTAGGTTTAAAAGTATGTTAAAACTTTAGCAGGATATTAATATAGATGATACTTATTAAAGATACAGCACATAAAGTACTTAAAATAGATATAAAAGTTGTTGGAAGACATTTTATGTATGTCTTCTAAAGTTTTACTATCACATTTTCAAAATTTCTCTCAATGAACTTTTTATAGTTTTTTTTTTATAAATTAGTTCAGGTATATTTTTAATTTGTAAAATGGGAAAATTCAAATCAGGTACTGTGAGAGCAATTGAAGTGATACAATGATACATTTTTTGATCATTTGTCTATTCTCATTTCTTAAGTGATAGCCTGATTTTTCCCCCTCTAGAATTCTTTTGCAGCTTTACCTTACCTATTAAATTCTGTTTAATTTTGTAGTTCCTGTTACTAGAAAGGAGCAAATGAAGAGGTTGACATTTCATTGTTTCACATGATATGAGCGCCCTTTTAATTGGAATATTTTTCCCATTAATAATGAGTTGAGAAGTGGCTCATAAAATATTATGGTTTTGAAAATGTCAGCAAGGCATCTTAATGATCTAGTTTTAATTATAATGACTTGTTTGGCATGAACTTTTGGCAGTAAAGTCTTCAGAGGCTGTGTAAAGTAAACAATTTTATATCCTCGATAATCTCTAAAGACCTAGAACTTAAACTAAGGAATGTATCCTGTCTTGCTAGCTTTGAATTATGAATACATAATGGCTGTTTCACATTGAAGAATGTTCAAAGTCTTAATATGTCTTTCCCCTGTGGATAAGATATGAATATCATATTGGGATTTAGTACTAAAATTAACATCACCAGGTTAGAAAAAATTACCATTTGTTCTTTGTGCTTTGGTATGGTTTTGAAGGAAAGGGGAGAAAGAGAAAGGTAAATTCCTCCCACACATAAAAAAAATCCTTAAAATTCAAAAAATTAGGACATTTCCTAGAAGAAATATGAGTGACCAATATGAATATGAAAAAATGTTTACCTTCACAACTAACAAAAGGAAATTTAGACTTAAATAACATCTTGTTGCTTGCAGCTTGGGAAATTTTTCATTGATAATATCCTGTGGTGCTACTGGGACAGACACAATGGCATTCACATATATTGGTGGTAGAGTAGGCCATGCCCATCGGGAGATTCTTAGGTTCAGCTAAACACTCAGGTTCACATTCCTGTCAAAAGCCACAGTCGGCTTCCAGTTGCTCAGGATAGAAACAGCCAGGAAACCCAGCATGAAGCAGGACAGCAGGTATTTGTTCTTCAGTAGAAGCCTTCAGGACACTCCACATGGTTGTCCACCCAGCCATCTGGTAGCCAATCTCTTTGGTACCCCAGGTGACAACTTTGCTGCTAAAGAGTGAGACTCATGTTGGTGGGTTTGAGCCTCCTTGGCTTAGAAGCCCATGCTTGCAGGACAGCCCCACTGCATAGCTTCCGGGTCTCTGCAAGGCACGTACCAGTTATAAGAGTCACTGAGCTCAGGAAGGCCTGAAGATATGATGCCTATTAGGTATTTATGATTCCTTCTAGTTAAGATAAAACTTATTAATCAGGGTTCATTTTTCTCTTAAGCAATGATGCTTAGTAACATAGTTGATGGTATACTTTTATCAGGTTCCTAGGAGCTAGAAAGTTAACTATAGTTCAGATTCTCTTGCAGAAGGAAAAAGGGGGTTTGGGGTTTTTTTGGCAATATGCATTGAAAGCTTTCATTGTGTGTGTACCTTTTCCATCTGGTGATTTGTTTTTAGGGATTGTAATAAATATGCACAAAGATGTATATGTCTATAAGTAGATTCACTGAAGCATTATTTTCCATAGTTATTAGTGACAATATGCTCAGCAATTAATGAAATTATAGTACATTTATGTTGCAGAATAATAAGTTTATAAAATAAGTATGTCCAGAAACAACATAAAAAGGATTTATATCAAAATATTTAGTATTTAACTCTGGGAGGTGATTTTCCATGTAATTTTTTAAACCATAAATCTCATTTTTAACTTTGATCATGTATTACTTTTCTAAATTGTTTTTTATGGAACTTATGATCCAAGTCAATTTCAGTGCAAGAGACTTATATTGACTGATCATAATTTAAGAGTTTATTTTAATACCATTAAGAAGGCTTGATCTTGAACTTCTTTAACATGTTCTAGTTAAATTTTATGTTTTTATAAACTGCTGAGATCCATCTCATATTGACATCTGACATGATAATCTTGAAATGTTTCAAGCCATCAAAATCATTCTCAGTTCATTTTCTAATATATACTATTGTGCAATTTCAAACACTAAAGTCCCATAAATTATAAACTTCTCAAAATTTGTAAGAAAGGGAATATAAAATTTTTTAGTTGGTTGCTAGAATTTTGGGGCTGGGGAGGATAGAAATATGGAACAGAAACAATGATTCAGTGATTAAGTGGGAAAAGCACATAATCACATGTTTGTGATAGACTTTAGATGCCAGCTCTCAAGTCACTTTTCAGGTTATGGGTGAGTTCATGGATGCCATCATTACTGTCTAAGGGATTTATCTTTAAATGCATACAATTTATTTTCCATCTTCCACTGGGTAATATGCACACATTGTAGTTTATCTTTAATGTTAACCCATCCACCAGTAATCTTGCCACTCTATTGGTTTAGAAAATGTAAAACAAATATTTCCTCAAGAGGTGTATGGTGCTTGGAGGAATATTGAAAAGCAAAATATTTAAAACTATACTTCTAGCAAAGTAAGAATCACCTGAGGAACATCTAAAGAAATATTTGTTACCTGCTGTTTTGTATTAACTGTGTTTGTTGTTGTTCTTACAAATGGATGATGGAGAGTTGGTTGATGCTATAAAGGTGCTGTGTACCGCAGAAGATCAGTCTTCGGGACTGAGACTGGAGTTCTGGTCCTGTCCCCAACAGAGATTATGCTGCTTCAGGACTCAATTTCCTCGTCTGTAAAATGAATAGATTAGATGTCTTAGATCCTTCTCAACTGAAAAAAATCCTAAGATCTATTTAATTTATAACTTTAAGTTTTATAATGATAAAGCTTCTAATGATTTTGTGCTTTACCTTTCAGTTTATACCTGTTCAAACTAGGAATAGCACCTCAGATCCAGGATTTGTTGGGCAAAGTAGACTTCACAGGTACTTATGTATTTTTTTATAGTCTAGCTAAAAGAATGCACCAATACTTTTTTTGATTTTGATTGATTCCCTTTCTTCCTCTGTATTAACAAGAAGAGAAAACTTATCTGTTTTATTTGTACTTGACTGGATTCCCTTTCATGTGTTTGTGAAATGAGACACTCAGGCTGAGTTCTTCCTGAGGCTTTTATTTAGAAACAGTCTCACCTTCCTGATGAAGACATTTCTAGATACAAATATACTCATTCCTACCTCCTTCTCTGTCTGTGACTTTCCTTGATTTTTCTCTCTCTTTTTTTTTTTTTTGCTGGTTCTTTTTTAGAGGAAGAAATCAGTAATATGAGAAAAGAGCTTGAGAAATATGGAATACAGATGCCGTCTTTCAGCAAAATAGGTGGTATTCTGGCCAATGAACTGTCGGTGGATGAAGCTGCCTGTAAGTCTGTTTAAAATCCAAATTTATCATTGATGCGAGATTTACCTATACTTTGTTGATTTTGATTACATGAAATATAATATTTAGAAGATACTCTAAGCATCCTAAAAGTTGTTGTTCATGTTATAGATGGTTAATTCGAACGTGTCAGATCATAACCAAGTAATCGATTTTGGTCTTTAGACATCTTCTTGTGCAATGTGAATTAAGAAGTTCGAGAAACATCTTCTCAAATAGTTCTCTACTTTCCATGTCTTTAGATTTTAGTGCTAGAATACATTGCTACATATCGTTTAGTGTTGCAAGGTAAATGGCAAGTATCTCTTGGAACCACCATGTTACTTTAAAACTGTGTTGCCCTGACCACAGGAACAGGTTGGAAAGACTGTGACTTTCTAACCCCTGGTGGTCAACATATCACTTGGTTCATTTTAGCCATTCAGTGCAAATTGAATAAATGAGTATCGATTACATAACAGATGCTGAAATCAGGACCAAAGACAGGCATGTGGAGAGGTGGTCAGGTGCTCCATAATGCATACGTATGAGGTCTTTTTGTTCCTTACTGGAAGCCAAGGAAGAAAGTAAAACTGCTTCAATTTATGCAGTGTCGATGTAACTGCTCATGTTGTCTTTTCCTGATAAAAATCTTTCTCTCTCTTTACTTTTCAGTACATGCTGCAGTTATAGCCATTAATGAAGCTATTGAAAAACGAGTCGCAGAGCAGACCATCATAACGCTAAGAAACCCCAATGCAGTTTTAACGTTAGTGGATGACAACCTTGCACAGGAATATCAGAAAGAACTCTGGGAAGCCAAAAAGAAAAAAGAGGAAAATGCAAGACTGAAGGTACCTAATCAGATTCTGACTAATAGATACAGTCATGAATATGGTTATGAGTTACTAGTTTGAAAAAACCTTATTTATTTTTTTATTTTTTTGTGGAGATGGGATCTCGCTTTGTTGCCAGACTGGTCTCAAACTCTTGGCCTCAAGCACTCCTCCCATGGTGGGCTCCCAAAGTGCTGGGATTACAGGTGTGAGTCACCACACCCAGCCTGAAAAACCATTAATGTTGCAAGTGATATTTTTAAATCAATTGGCTATGGTCTCTGTAGCCATAGACAGTTGGTTTGGATGAAATGTAAGGGTGAAAGAAGCTCATATACTACATAAGGAAATTAAGATATTCTTTTATGGTGAATATTATGGGTTGGCAGGATTGAAGGTTGTGTCGTAAACTGACTACTTACCTACTCAGAAAGCATTGAAGTAGTAGCTAAAGATCGTCCCTTGTTAGGCGTCATCAGCAGACCTTGTATTAGCCAAGTTACCTTTCTGTTTATGAGTGGAGGTTAATAATTCAGTGTGGTGAAGTTTGGAGACGATGTTTTTGAACCTGCTGCTTTCATATTTTCCCAGTAGTAACTCCCCATATTTGAAGGTGTCCCTCCTTGGCCAGATAGCCTTCCTTAACTCCATACTTCCCCACCCTCCTGTCTAGTCCATTATTGAAAGTTTGGTCTAAGCTGAGAGCTGCTACTTCCTCACCAACTTTTCTCTTATTGAACTCTTGCCATGTCAATGTCAGCTTCATTTACTAAAAATAACTGCTTTATTTTTTGACCTTTCCTCAACTGGTGGCTCCCCAATCATCCGGCACGGTTGTCTCCCACCCGCCCCACCTGTGTTGAGATTCTCTGCCCCTTGCTCCCAGCTTATGTACGTCTTTGCTGCCAGGGTTCTCCTCTGTGTCCTCCCTCTCAATGTGGGGATTCTTCACGGTCTGACGTTGACTCCCTTCTCTGTTCTTCCTCCATGAAGCTCATCTACTCATTGAAGAAATCAACTGTCACTTTATACCAGCCCCTCCCAAATCGGCCTCTCTCCTGCTCCCCCAGCTCTCTCACCTGTGTCCCTTGGGCCTCGAGCCCCAACATGGCAGAAGAGCACCTCTTTCTGACTGCCCTGGTTTGGAATGGTGACCACCTTGTCTCAGAACTCTCTTTATTAATATGCCCCGTGTCCCATCCATCGCTAGATTCTGCTGCCTTGTCAGGCTTGAATCTATCATCCACTGTCTGGCGTCTCCACTTTTGCCTCCATCCTGCCCTCCTCACCTCATTACAGGACCCTTTGGGCTCCTTCCTGTTGGGTCTCCTCCAAGCCAACCCTCTCAGAACTAGAGGTTGTAAACTTGACCTTTAACTGCAGATCTGATGTCACCCTACCGGAAGCCTTCCCTGATCTCTGTTGACACCTGTGTTAAGTATCGACCTTAGCTTGGCCTTCAGTCGAGCTCCCCATCTTTTCGTCCCACCCTGGACACACACTCCATGCTGTAACCTGGCGTCTATGTCCTGTTCCTTCATCTCAGCCTTTCACGTTACACTGTTCCTTGAGGCCCTCCTCAATGTTATCTCTATTCAAAATTTTCTTAACTAAGTGTGAATCCTTTTTAAAAAAATGTTTATAGTACTCCTCCTATAGATTCTGTTCTGTTCTACTAGGTATATTCATTATTCGTGTTCTTGATTTTATTAGATCTAATTAGTTGAAATTGCCAATAGTCAATTGATTTTGAACTACGAAAAATAGCAGCATCAAGTGATCTAACCTGATGTTGTCCACATTTGAAATTAGCCTTTTTCAGAGAGTGGATCTGTGGTTCACTTTTGTAATCCTTGCCTGGTGTTTCTGCCCTCGTGCCCTGTGCGGAGTACTCTACAAATGTTTACGTTAAGTTCAAATGAAAATTAGTGAATGGTTTTTATCTTTGCATTTTTACATTTGACTTTTGAGCTTTGGAATCATTGTATTTAACCTCAGGAATCAGTGAAGACTTTGTTTTTGCAGAATAGCTGTATTTCAGAAGAAGAAAGAGACGCATATGAGGAACTGCTGACGCAAGCGGAAATCCAAGGCAATGTTAACAAAGTCAACAGTAAGTAATGGATTGTGGGAGCGAAATGGATGTTTCTATAAGGTGCAGACTTTCCTTGCCAGAATTCCAGCAAAACACTCAACTTGTGTTACTTACAAAACTGCCTTATAAAATGAAAAATCTACTAAATGTCAATGTTCTTAATTATGGTGCAATATCAGACAGTTTCCCATTGAGCTGCTTTTGGTGACCCTGCTCCTGGTCCACACACAGTATCTCAAAGTATTCTGAAGCTAGTTTGATTTTACATTCCTGTTTGATCATAGCTATGGTGCATTTCATATTTTTAATCTGTCCCTTTTGGGATTAATATTGAAGGTCATTTAGTAAAGGATCGACTTAAAGATTGTAGTTCCTTGCCCGTGATTATGTGATGGTGTTCTCATTGGAATTGTAAAAGATATTATTGACACCACTGCTTCCTGTTACTTCCTACTCATTCATCTGCTGTTAGTAAGAATTGGTTTTGGTTGGTTTCTTTTTTACAGCTTGTGTAGCTTTAGTGCCAGGGAGAGAGACTATTGGCAGGCCAGATGAAATCACATGATGGCAGGTTTGAGTCCCACCTCCCCGAGCCTCTGTGGAGTCAGTCTAGTTCCACTTAGTACCTAGTTCAAGTGTGTGGCTATAAAGAACAGAAAACTTGGGTCATGAAATGAAGCATATGCAAGTTTGGATACATCAATTTTTTTTATTAGTCTTTTCTCGCCTGTAGTAAAATTAATTTTTAGAGTCAATAAGGAATTTTATTTGATCTTTATTTCCCCTAGGTCAATCTAAATAACCCATGTATACCAAAAAAAACTAACACATGAAAGATTATTTAGCCCATTTAATAAAGCGTGTGAACCCTTTGCCAAATTAAAACTTGGAGTGTCCACGAATGACAACAGTCCTAAACCTTACCTTCAATTTAACTTTCTAGATGGGTTTTAAGTATTCTTTATTATTTTTAATACCTTCGAAGAAATGTACACTTGTAGGTGTTACTCAGAAGTCTGCTCCCAAGTTGCTGGGGAGGTATTTCCTAAAGGGTTCAAACAGTAATCAAGGGCACCCCAAGCAGGCTAATGTAAACGTCTAGACACTAACGACTGAGTGTATTGGAGAATTTACCTCACACACACACAACGTTGCTGAGAGCTCTCGGGTGACTTTAAAGGCAACATTCTGGGGTGTCTGTTCCTGTTCTTTTATTCCTGTTAAATCTTGAACATGTTGCTGATGATACATGAGGTACAATTTAAAGTTTCTCTTTCTGTTCTATGTGAAAGCTGAGAATTTCATTATGCTTGACAGAAATGAATTACCAGAAGAAATTAATACTACCAGCGAGACATCTGAGGTCCATGAGCTTGGAGAGGAAATGGTTCCATGGACTTCTACCATCCTTTGTTTGTGAAATGTTTATAACCACTAAAACAGATTTATTTTTCATGTTAAATAAAATGCCTTGTATAAATGTTCTTTTACTCAGTGCCATGATTTACTGACCACAGATTTAATGCCAAATTGGCCATATATTTTTTTTTCCATTTTTAAGTAAAAGGCTTTGGATGATTTGCACTAATTGCATAACCAGCTGAAACTGCTGATGGGCATTGCAGTGTTTGGCTTTAAATGAGCAGAATATGACTATTCTGAAGGCTTTTTTTTTTTTTTGGTTTTGGTTTTTATATCTCTCCCCATCTTAAATTTATAGTCCAGTGGAACTGAAAAGTAGTCTTGGGAAAAAATCTCTGAAGGATATTTTAGTTGGTGACATGATAATGAAACAATTGTACACTTGAAAACACATAAGAATGGTTACTTTGACAAGCTTCTCCCCAACCATGTAGGTTATTATATTAAAATGTTAAGGCATCTACATAATAATGGCGTAGGTGACCAATGGTGGTAACATGAATGGATCTATTCAGAAGCTTCAGCTTTGTGCGAACTGTGATCATTTAACTTTCAGGTTTTCGGAACATGTATTCCATTCATTACATGATATATTCTTTTAAGATCAGGTTTAGAAATTTTGTTAAATGCAGAGTGTAATAGAGAAGTTGAACTTACCTTATATTGTTTTTAGAAGAAACAATTTATTAAAAGTTTTAAGGATATGATTTTCTGGTAATATTTAACATCCAGTTTTACAAACTATATAATAAAGTTATCAAAGGTGAAGCAAGATCCTACCCAGAGTAATCTAAGATGCAGCTGAAAAGCCTTGGATAACTTTTATAGAACAAAAAACACCACAAAGAACCACTGACCTCTCTTTCTGGAATTCTTTCGTCACATTAATTTTAAGGATGGAAAAGAAGTGCTTGGGCTCTCAGGGTCCTTTAGATGAAGTGTGAGTTTTCTAGGGGGTGGGGGATGAGTTGAGGGACTCCATTAGTTGTATTTCCTGCTATTGAGTGATGTCAAAAGGTTAGTAACTATTTAGTAAAAAGGTTGAGGGAAGCTCCTTGTGAATGTATTTGGAGAAGAAAAATTGTCATCTTGTCAAAAAGAGGTAGAATAATCTTAGCTACAGTCTAGTCATGTATTAAGCAAACAGACTAACCCTTGAAAAGCTCTAGAAATCTGAGCATCTGTGTTCCTTCTGCAGGGCAAGACCTGCAGGCTTCGTCTGGTTCACTGTCGCCCGCTGGGAGAGTTCGTTACTCATTCTCCCATTGGGTCAGCAATTCAGTTTCTGTACTCTGAAAACTATGAGTCTTCTCTTCCAAGCACCTCAGTTTGGTCACCAAAACTGAGGTCTTTGTAATCTGAACCTCACCACTGGTGGAGAGATCTCAGAGCTTATGGTTGTATTGGTTGGTGGGTGCAGCAAAGTATCCGAGTGCCTGCTGTGGGTTTACCACGATGCTTACTGAGCAGGAACATACAACAGTAGGGCAAGGCTTGTTTCTGGTCTTCATGTGACTTAAAGTCTCCGTGGCGAGGCAGTACTAAAGTGCTGACCCACAGGGAGCATCAGAGAACAAACCTGCTAGAACTTTAAGTGGTTCACAACATGGGAGATCCTCAGGGACTGGAGCCATTTGAAGGCTTCACGGAAGAGGTGGGACCAGAGCTGATCTGAAAGGAAAGACTTTGTGTAGGAAAGTCGTGTTAGGTAGGAATGATCTCATAAGCCAAACTCCATCAGTGCTGAGGCTTTTAGGAACTGACTCCAAGGACTGGACTGATTTAAATTGCTGAGAGAACATTTTCAAGACTTTGCCTGCCCTCCACTTGCAGCTTTTTGGAGTTCATGGGAAGTGACTGCTTAGGTTCAAATCCTTGGAAGGAAGTGCTGGTTGGGACAGGCAGCGGTGGGAAAAGCAGGCATTCTGATGGAATGTGAACATTCATTCTCAGGGCAGGCTGCAGTGGACCACATCAATGCTGTCCTTCTGGAAGGCGACCCTGAGAACACACTGCTCGCACTGAACAAACCGGAGGCCCAGCTGCCTGCTGTTTATCCCTTCGCTGCTGCTATGTATCAGAATGAACTTTCCAACCTCCAGAAACAGAATGCCACGGTAAGTCAGAGGAGACTGCAGTTACCGAGATGGTGACCCTGAGTCCAAGCAACAAGGAAGGCTGGTGAGGAAAGAAGAATGCTGGGGACGTAGAGTCTCTAACTAGCACCAGTCCCCAGTCTCACGGACCCACCTGCACCAATGCCATGGCCTCCTTCCTCTCTAACTCTTGCCTTTAGTCTACATAAAAAAGCTGGGAGCATAGTTAGGAAATTCAGGCAGTGGTCCACACATTTACACACGAAAACAGATTGTTCCTATTCTCCTATTCCTATTTTGAAGAATTTGGATAATTTTTTAGCTATACTAATTTTTTAAGTATATAATGTTTTTGATATAGAAAAATAAGCTGAATCTGCATTTTCAGAAAACTGCAAATAAGAGCATTAGCACCACAACTTGATTTTTGTAAATTTATGCTTCTTAATATGCTAATAGTATTAAACAATAATTTCATATGTTACAGTAATTAAGAACATGTTTACTAGTGCTCCCATAAGCCAAATAGCAGAACATATGAAAAGTACTGGAAGCAGAGCCAAGATTCAATTTATGAGCCAGCAAAGTAGGGAAAAGATTACTTAATAAGTGAAATCCTTACAAGTGTTTAACCATTGTTAAGAAAGCATTGACTCACTACACATATCATATCAGAATAAATTTCCAAAATAAAAGGTTAAATGTAAAAAATAATTTAAAAACTTAAGGTTCTAAGGAGAAACATAGGGCATTCATTGGATCTTAAAAATGAGAACCAGCACTTACCAGCCAAGAAAAAGAGAGGCCAAGAGTATGAACAGATAATTCACAAAACAAGAAATATACAAACGACAAATACACAAAAAAAAGTTCAAACTCAACCAGAAGTAAGTAAATGTAAATTAAAACAAAGTATAATTATTTTTAAAAATTAGATTGGTAGAGATTAGAAAGATTTAACCCAGAGTAAGTATGAATATGGGGCAGCAGGCATCTCCTAACAGCTGATGGGAGTGTGAATTGGACAGCCTTTCTGGGAGGTCACCTTAGCAACACACATTAAAGGCCCATGATGCTGACAGTTACAGACTAGAGAATGAGCCTGAAGGATGTGAATTAAATAGCTTTAGCTACAGAGATGTTTCACAGCATTGTTTATAATAAGCAAACCACATGTTTAATAACAGATTAATAATAAATTGTTTAACTTATGGTACTTCTATGTGCTAGAAATACTGTGCAACCAGTAAAAATGATAGTGTAAAGAATCATGATTGGGCCGGGCGTGGTGGCTCACACCTGTAATCCTAGCACTCTGGGAGGCCGAGGCGGGCGGATTGTTTGAGCTCAGGAGTTCAAAACCAGCCTGAGCAAAAGCGAGACCCCGTCTCTACTAAAAAATTATAAAGAAATTAGCTGGACAACTAAAAATATATATATAAAAAAATTAGCTGGGCATGGTGGCTCATGCCTGTAGTCCCAGCTACTCGGGAGACTGAGGCAGTAGGATCACTTGAGCCTGGGAGTTTGAGGTTGCTGTGAGCTAGGATGACACCATGGCACTCTACTCAGGGCAGTAGAGTGAGACTCTGTCTCAAAAAAAAAAGAATCATGATTGGACAAGATGTCAACACTGATATTAAGTGGAAAAAACTGAAAATATATAGCATTATCTCGTTTTTTGTACTAAGAAAATAAAAGTTAAAAAAACAAAACCTGTAAATATATACGTGAATTAAAAATAAAGAATCTAAGGGTTTGGGTGGTAGGATTTGTTTTTTTAATATCAAGGCTTCCTGTGTTTTTTAAATAGAATATAGTGTTTTATAATAAAAGAAAAACAGGTTATTTTCTTAAATTGCACTTAGGTTCTCTCATTGATACTTTCTCCCATTTTTCTAGCAAGGCGACTTGGACTCTAGCACAGTCCTTCATCCCCAGCTGGTCGTAGTTAACCTGTGGTTGTCCAGCCCCGTTTCTTCTTCCTTTTCCCTTATCCTTTTTGCCATATAGCACTTTAGGTACGTGTGGACAGTCCACTGAAAGAGATGGAAGTGAATCGTAAATGATTCCTTTCTGCTCTGTACTTGTTATTTTATACATCACTTACGTGTTAAAATTGTAGTTACTGTAGGATATTTGGATAAAATTTGACATGCTCTCTGTGATAAACCCTTCTTCCCATTTGTTTTGGGAGGTAAAATTTTGTTTTGTTATTTTGAAATCAGTTTGTTGCAAGATTTTTGTGGAGATCCAAAAAACTATAATAACGCATTTTAATATGAATATTACATTATACATTAAATACATGTAATACCCTAAATGTAAAGATGTATTTCAGCTTTTTCTTTTTCTTTTTTTTTTTTTCCATAATTCTTTTTCATACTCCATATGTTCCTTCCATACGATGAAAAAATATTCTTTTTGAAGTTGGGCCAAGATGGTGAAAAATGGTTAAATATTAATGGAAGAAAATATTGAAGAGGAAGGGTTTTTGAAAGCTAAGATGTATTTTTAGATAAGCCAAGTCCAGATTTTACATCATATAAATCTGGAGATCTTTACTTGCTTTACCAAAGGATTACCTCAGATTTCTTCAAATATCTAGACCTTGTTGTACATTTTAAAATTTATACTCAATTTATAAAAATGTAACTTAGGCTAACTTTTTTGGAATTAGAATCAATATTTTTGATCTATAGACGTTGCTTTATTTTCCTGTGGTTATAACTTTTAAGTGAAATTCTCCCCTCCTTTCCTTTACCCTAAATTCAAACTAGCAATCATTAGCTGTGTTAAAATCTGACCTTACACTCTCAGTCAGTGACAATGTTGTCTAGTTCTTGGCTTAACTATATGATCGGACTGAGCCTTTAAGCAGGCAGTAGCTGGGAGTAGCGATCAGCTATGGAGTGCAGGCGTTTGTGACATTATAACTGTTAGCTGTAATCAATGCGGTCCCCAAAATGATTATGTAAGGAAAACCCAGGAGCCATTTACCTCCTTTAAAGCCAGTGGAAAGCACGTGGGCAGTGACCCCTCTTTCTGCTGGGCTATCAAGATCTTTGCCTTTTCATTGTTTTTTGAAATGTGCCTTCTGAGCCTTCATCATAAATGTGAGGTGTGTTATTTGGGGAGCTTATATTGCCATATGTTTTCCAACAGAACTACTTGGCCCACGAGGAGCTCTTGATTGCAGTGGAAATGTTGTCTGCGGTTGCTTTACTAAACCAGGCCTTGGAAAGCAACGATCTTGTCTCTGTGCAGAATCAACTCAGAAGCCCCGCAATAGGCTTAAACAATCTGGATGAGACATATGTGGAACGGTAAGGAACGTTGTCCAAACTGTCTTTCGATGCAGAAATGCATGTTTAGCAGATCTTACAAATTAAGAATTTGCTCCTTAGTGGAAGAATCCATATACCATGCTTATATTTCTTAAAAGTTAGTGAGCTCCATTTTAAGAGTCCTTCTAATTAGAGTCCTCCTTTCCAGGAACAAAAGGAATCTGCAAGTGATTATCCCGTAGCAATTAGTGACTGACTGTGTGATTGGCAAAGATGATTCAATAGGCTAAAAACAAAGGATCTATTGAAAATGTACCTTCCCTTGGGCTTCTTTTGGCAGTGACAGAATATAGAAGGGTCGGAAGCAACTTTAATAATCATCCAGGTCAGTTCTTTTATTTCCCTGATGAGGAAACAGAATCTGGAGTCATGGACCTAGAGTGGGGAAGTAGAGCCTCAAACCCCACTCTTCTGATTGTTAAGCCAGAGGAATCCTGAGACCACGGTGCCTCATGGCAGTGGGTAACAACCTCAATTTAGTATCTAATTTTTATGTTTCTGAAATGTGCTACTAAATGGTACAGTTGATAGTATCATAAAATACCCTAGTGGATGTAAGAGAAAACGCAAGGGCCAGAATAAGGAGCCAACTTAGAGATACAATTAAGACAAAAGCCTGAGTTAAAACAAGTAAATCTTGAATTCTTGTGACCACCAGGGGGAGATGTCTGTGCAGGTCTTGACACAGGTTCCTTTCAGAGACCGATTCCGGAACTGCTCTGGTGGATAGGTTGGCTGATTCTCTTGGGTTGTGTACACTTGCGCAAGAAAAATCAAAGAGATTTCTTAGATTTTAAACAAATAGTTTTTGACCATTTGTCTATGTAGAGAATAGTGGAAAAAGTAGTGGAAGGACAATGGATTTTTCTTGTTTTTAGTTTTCTTGGAAAAACTAATGCTCTTGTTTGGCTTAAATTTGGCCATCTGGTATGCACAAGACTCCTCAGGGTCTGTTTCCAAGGTAGTTTATTCCTACCTCCACTGTTTCTATTAATGGCACCACCCTCTTCTCCAAGATGGAAAACCTCACCCTCAACTTGAGTTCTCCTCTGTCCTCTGCCAGACACCCTTGTACTGTGAAGAGCCTGATCACCTCTCCCAATGTCAGTAGCTGACCTTTGTCCGTTATAGCTCTGTAAAATGTTTCCATTTCTCTGCAACCATCCTCACTTAGACTTCTCACCTTTGCTTCTGTAATAACCTGCAAATTGATCATCCTACCTCTTTCTCTCCTCATTCATTAATCATTCTTACCTAATCAGGCTTTGCTTTCCTCTTAGTGCTAGAGTAGAAGACAGAGCTAGTCACTCTCTTACAAAGCTTACAGGCTAATGGGGCATCTTGGTGAGGTAATTGTCAAGATTGCCCCCATTACTTAGGATCCCTGGCCACTGCCCTGTAAATGACAGTAGCCACCCACTAACCCACCCAGCCACCCATTTCAATTATCAGAAATCCCTGTTGTCCCATTTACAAATACCCCTTAAGGAGGTGGTCCCACTTGATTTGAGAATCACATTTATACCTGTGGTTGTCAGCTGGGACCTACAGATACAGCCTCAGAATTCAAGTGTTCTCTATGAAAAACTTTAAAAGTGCATATGTTTTGATTTTTAATTTGATTTAAGCACTTTCTGGATCACCCAAATGGCCCATACTGACATGAGATTTTTGGGTGCACTTTGGTTCTTGTATTGACAATTGTATTGGCCCCAAGTGATCTTCCACAGCCTTAGCATTTCATTTGCAAAGTCAGCTTCTTAACCTGGGTTCTTGGAGGCCCAGGCTTGTATATTACCAAGTTTGAGAAACACTGCTATGTCCAGGACCACTCCCCTTAGAGTGTAGGTTCTACATAGCATAAGAGTGCTAGACAAGAGCCACCTTGACAAATTCTTGCGAAGTCTCTACCTATTCATTATAGCTTCCACTCTTGGGTTGGCTTTGCCCAGAAAGATTGAATTCTTTTCTTTTCTTTCTTTCTTTCTTTGTTTTTTTTTTTTTTTTTTAGAGACAGGGTCTCACTCTTGCTCAGGCTGGTCTTGAACTCCTAACTAGCTCATTGTTTGCTCTAGCTAACTGGTTAAGAATCCTGACTTACCCAAGTAATTTTTTTTCTTTTTTTTTTTTTTTGAGAGAGAGAGAGGGTCTTGCTTTGTTGCCCAGTGCAGTGGCATGATCACAGTTAACTGCAACCTTGAACTCCTGGGCTCAAGCAATCCTCCTGCCTCAGTTTCGTGAGCAACTGGTACTATAGGCACCTGCTATCATGCCCAGCTAATTTTTAATTTTTTTGTAGCCATAGGGTCTCGTTATGTTGCCCAGGCTGCTCTCAAACCCCTGGCCTCAAGCAGTCCTCCCACCTCAGCCTCCCAAAGTGCTAGGATTACAAGCCCCCAGAAAGATTCTTTTGTCTTACTCTCACAAAAGTGATGTATGGGTTAGCATTAGCTCTAGATGTGAGCTGTTCCCAGATTAATTGTTCTAAAATGCAGCTGCATTCACAGTTCTTCTGTTTGATTGTTCCCTGTTCTCATCTGAATTAAGAACAGACTTCTCTAAACATCATGTTCTGATCTCAGCCCCAGTTACATCCCTACTTGCATTTTGCACCTCAGCCAAGCTGGATCCAACCACACTGGGTACTTTCTGGTCTTTCTGTTTCTATGCATGGTCCTCCTACCACTAGGAACTTAGTATCCTCACCCAACTCAGCTAAGCGCAGTGTTGGAGCTTGCAATTGCTGCCTACCATATACCATGCTTCTCCCATCCCAGCAGCTCATATCGTCTCTTCGGGGAACCAGCATGATATGGTTAGAGGAGCATAAGCCTTGGGGCCCAAAATATCTGAGTTTGATGCCCTCTAGCTGAGCCCTTTTGTCTTCATCTCTAAAGCACAAAAACAAAACACCTATTCTGCATTTGCAGAACTGTTTTGAGGATAAGGTGCTTGGTTCGGTGCCTGTCCCAGGGAAAGTCCTCCACCAGTAAGGATTTCCTTCTTCTTCCCCTTCCTTCGACCTCCCTAGGGACTATCTCTACTCATATGACCTTTCCTGAACTCTGCTCTTAAGCCCTTTTTGAGTTTTTGTCACCTTACCCACGGGCCTGAAAACTCCTAGAAGTCAAGGCAGCATCTTGTTCCTCCTAATATTCCTGAAGTGCCTGCCACATGTTTTGCATGTAGTGAGTGCTTACTAAGCATCTGCTGAAATCAATTGTTAATCTTAAAGCTTCCGAGGTCTGTTAGACTAGTAGCCTTACTGTGTCCTTAGCATGAGGTGAGGAGAGCTCTGAGGAAAGAGTAAGAAGAAAGAACACAGAGCTGTTTGGGTAGGCTATGGAATATTTTTTCCAAAGTTGATATCCTCACTGCTGGAGACAAATAGTTACTTAGAAAACCTGTGGAGCTCTCTTGTGTTACTTCAAAATCTTTTCCCTTTAGCTCGTTTTTGTTCCTATCTAAAGAAATGATGGGTGGTTGTATTTTTTTCTGTGTTTATTCTGTGTATTTATTAACTTTCTCATTTCACTCCTGTTGGGTCATCATTTAGACTTTCAGTGTATGAAATGCCCGTAATGACCTTGCACTTTTAGAGTGGTTCCTGTCCATAAGGGATGCTAACCAGTGCAAGCTGCCATTTATCCATATTGTTATTATGGTCAGTATTGGTGATTGCATATTAGTACTGTAGCAGAGTATTAGGTTTATAACTCTTGGTAAGGTAAAAATCTCATAAAATTTAGCCAGTTTTTACATCTGCACTTGGTGAGGCCTCGTTCAGTTACAGACAATAAATCATCACCACTACTTCCTATTTGGAATGTTTTTCTCTGAAGCTACTTTCTATGGAAGACACCTCAATGGCACCTTGAAGCATGCAAAAATGTGGAAAAATTTGTCACTGCCAGAAAAACAGTTTTTAGACTCAATATGATGTTTCTTTTTTTAACCTCTGCTATTAGGAAACCCCTAGAGGCTATTCAGAAGTCAAACTGCATAGTGAATCAGTATGTACATAGAGGATTGTTCTTCATTTCCATAAATATGTAAAACTAAACCATTGAGTTCCTTTCCTTTTGGCTGGAATCGTTCATGTTAACCTATGTGTGTAACATTGGTTCTGTGATTTTTAAATGGAAAAATTGACATTGAGAAATAAAAGTTTCTTAATATATCAGTATGGATAATTTTTCCATGAAATTTCTGCAGACGAGAAAAAATAATTGGAGTGGTCCACCGAACTGTGTGTTTTAGAGGGCTGCATGGTGAGGAGAGTCGAGGGTCGTAAGTGAGATGTGAGAGTGCCATGGCAGTGAGGGGACACAGGAAGGAGATTTTTGTGTGGCTGCTGTGGAGGCTTTGGAGAAATGAGCAGATGAAGAGGAAGTGTGGGATGTTCTGGTTCACCTCATGTACCACCTCTTCAAGAAAACACATGGTGAAGATTTACGTCACTCAGCAAGGTTTCCGGAACTGCATTTGCATTTTATTTGACTCCTCAGTGGGCATATTAGGCCTCAGGCAGCCCAGCTATGTTAGGGATACAGTAGGAAAGGCCTTTCAAAACTTAGATTTTGGAAGGAACAAGAGAAATAATTAAAGGACCTTTTATGATGGAAATATTGAGAGCCTTGATAACTCTGAATTTTATCATCTGGAAACTGAGCAAAACCAAGACATGCAAAGGATGGGGAAATTAGTAACTGGGGGAAAAAAGTAATTTGATAGAGTTGAGAGCTTCTAGTTTTGCTTGAGGTTAGGTACAAGGTTGGATTTTGAGGGACTTTCACTAAACAGAATTTGTACATGAAAATACTTTTAAGAAAAAACACCATTAGTACAAGTGAGCTTGGTGTATGTTGACAAAGCTGCACAAGACGATTTTTATTCGCCTTTCTAGTCTTTGTCTAATCTCATAACGTCTACATGGCCATGTATCATATTTAAGATACGTAACATGAATGAAGAATGAATGTCTCTGATTGGCATTATGGTTGTTTTCTCTTCTGCAGTTATGCAAACTCACTATTCTCCGTTAAACTGGAAGCCTTATCCCAAGGACAAGATAACTTAAGCTGGAATGAAATTCAGAATTGTATTGATATGGTTAATATTCAAATTCAAGAAGAAAATGACCGTAAGTATGGGATACTTTCCTTCTCTAGCATGGGGGAGAAGAAGGTATCTGGACAACTTAATTTTTTAGATTAGAGCTATAAGTTTTTTGCTCATGGAACCCTGTGAGAGCACATTCCCCTAATATGTATATATTTACTTACATATAAAGTCTCCCATCCAAGTACTAACCAGGACCTACCCTGCTTAGCTTCCGAGATCAGATGAGATTGGGCGCGTTCAGGGGTATGGCCGTAGAGAGTTATATATAAAGTGTATGCCCATGCTACTGTACCAACATATTATAAACATTTCAAAGCATACAAAAAATATATAAAAGAATAGAATAAAAATACATAAATAGAAGTCCTAATATTTTCTTGTTGTTTGTACTTAGAGACAGCTACTGTAAATAAGTCAGCTTTTTAAGCACTCAATTCTATTTTGGCCTTTCGTTTGGGCATTTTTTAATGAAATATGATACACTTTCCTGCCCTGGGAATGAAGAAATTGGAACACATCTGTTGCTTCATGATCACAAATCATGGTGCTTGGCTGTGTTTCTAGAAATTATGAGCTATCAACATAAAAGCGGTCCATTCTCAAGAAGATATGCCTAGAAACATGCTTTCTTGAATGCCAGCTTGCTTATCATTCCTTCTGTGCTTATAAAAACAGAGTGAAGAAACTATGTAGCTTCAGCAGTCTACATATTCGCTGCTTTTCTGTAGCATGAATTACCAAATTCAAGCTTCAAGCTGTCTTTTCCATCATAAAAACAAACCTACACCACTTCTTTGGCTTCTGAGCTCTGTAGCGTGTCAGCAATGGATTAGGATTGCTAAAATCAATGGCTTCCCCTCCACACCCCGCCTTTGCCTTTCCTAACTCGCTTGCTCTAAGCTTGTTAGAGTAGGCAGATGCGTATGTCACAAATTTACAATGTTTGGTTTTAGTGTGTTTTGGTAAGGTCCTAGGTCTGGTCTTCTAATGCTGTATATCTCATTTGGGAATACTACAATCACTCCTGAGGTAAAATATATGACTTGTTAGTTAATTTTATTTGTATATTTTTCTTTTTCTTTGCTATTTCCTGTAAGCACTGGGCCAAAAATCAAGGCTGGGTTTGTTTTTTCTTTATAACCATCTCCCTTTAAGACCCTACTATAAAACAGGATCCAGGTGTGCTACCCTGACATGGTGCACCACGGATGTACCACTGTTACACTGATCCCTGGACACTTTCTTAATTTTGTTCTTTTCAAGTTGTGCACAAATCTGAATTTCCTCTTTTGGGAGCACACAGCTTTCTGTTGCCTCTCTGAGTTTCCTTTCAGAGAGGCATTTGAAATCTCTGCAGTCAGATGGCTTGCTCACAAGCCAGCTAGATCTTTTCTGACACATTGGCTTAAGAGCTTGTGGTTCTTGCCAGATATTAGTCCAGAGGGAAGCACTAGTTTGAGCAGATGTTCAGCATCATCAGGGTGGGGGTGGGAGGTACCACTGCTGCATGTGTCCTGCTTGAGAGCTCAGTCCCCCAGTCCTCTGCCTTCACCTGGGCCTTCCCCTCTGCTCTCTGAGTCTCCTGTGGCAGTGGTTTGGGTGTTATGGCAAATGTCACCCAAGGGGAATGACTCCTTTCTTTTGATAGGAAAAACAATCATGTCCTGTCTTTGATTTCTAACTTTTTTCCCAATTCTTTTTTTTTCCCAAAATATTAAGGTGGTATAAATGTTTTAGGTTACATGGATCACTTTTATAATGCTTGAGTCTCAGCTAAAGGTGTGCCCATCACCCAAATGGTGTTCATAGTACTCGTTAGGTAGGTTTTTGTCCCTCCCATCCTTCCCCTTGCCCTCTGGTTGATTTCCACTGAGTTTTACTTCCCTCTGTGTATGTCTGGGCTCCTCCGTTAGTTCCAATTTAATAGTGAGTACATGTGGTGTTTGTTTTTCCATTCTTGAGACACTTCACTTAGGAGAATCGTCTCCAGTTCCATCCAGATTGTTGCAAATGGTGTTAATTCATCTTTATAGCACACAGTCCGGGTCTGCTCTGATTATTTCTCTATGTGCTGCTCACACAAGGAAAAGTATGATTGTAGACTTGACGTTGATTAAAAGGGGGGGAAATGTCATTTTTATTCAAAGTCTTTGCCTTGTCAGGAAAAGAAAAACAAGTAACATTTGTGTAACTTAAAAAGAGAATAGTCTATCGTAGATAGATCTTATTTTTAAGCAAAAATCTTATTTGGTACCTGTGGCTTTTTTCTATCAAGGCAAGAGCACTACCAAGTTTTTCTCTCTAGGACATCTCACACGGCCACTGTAACATTTCTTTAGGCATCTTGTCACGAAGGGCGTGTGCCATAACCAGAGAGGTTATTTCAGATGCTAATATTTCCTTCCTAGAATTTAGGAAATATAATAAGGAGTATTTATCAGTTTTTTGGTTTTTTTTTTCTTTTGTCAAAGTGAGGTATTTTTGTTTAAAGTTCCTGAAGTATTGAGTTTGATACCATGTTTAGGCAATTGCTTAAAAAGCTAAAAATTTTAAAAACACACCATTGTGAACAGGCAAGAATTGTACAATATAGTAATTAAATCATCAGAAAGAGCTGAGAATTTTCCGTGGACATTTTGGAAGTGCATTACTCTTGCCTCCCCCCACGCCCTCCCACCCTGCCTTCTGCTGCGAGCTCCAAGGTCTCATCCTGTGTCTGAGTTGTGACGTGGGTAAGGTCTGCAGCTAGTGGAAAATAGTAAATGTGGAAGGTAAATTTCATACAAAATCTGCTAAATGTGTTTTCTCAGACTTGGATGCTTTGAATCCTTACTGCAAAGTTTATTTTTTCCAGTGATCTCCAAAAGGGATCATTATTTTAACCATGTAGCCTAGATGAGGAAGTTTTCTTCCTTTGAGTTTTTGCTTTCTAAGTTTGGTAGGTACCGTTCTTTGCAGGTCACCTCATTTGCTGTCTCTCAAATACATGAACTCTTAAGAGAATGCCCACTCTCTCAATGGACTAGAATGTCACAGTATCACACATTGATTTAAAGAAGTGGGAACGCGGGCCGAGACTCAGCAATCCTTCAAATGGGATTTTTCCTTTACTTAATAAACAGAGGAAGTGATGTGAATGTGCCCAGGGGGCTTCTGGGTAGGTCTTTTGGTTCCTGTGAGGTCATTTACTATGACCTCAACAGCTTGTGTTCTTAGAAACACACTAAACACAAACTTAAGCAGGTGATTTCAATCAAGTCAGCTGGAATGTACTCATTGCCAGGTGATCGGCCATTAGGAACGCACATTCTTTCTCAGACTTGGTTCTGTTAAGACCATTTATGGATGGGATGTTTAAAGGTATTTAAAACAGCCCACCCCAGGGGGTGTCCAGAGGATGACATGAAGTATCCCATGTCCTCCAGCTTATAAATCCTACAGCGTGAAATGATACTACCTTAGTTACATGGATAGTGCTTAGATTTGCGAGAGTTCTCCCAGTGTTTTGAGATAATGTAACTTTCATGTTAGAGGAATCCTTTTGCTTTTTTTCCCAAACCTATTTAAGTATTATAATCTGGAATAATTTCTAGGAGTTTTTGATTGTCTCTTTCTTCTTACTGGTAAATCTTTTTATTCTTAGCTAGTAGTGGTTATGGGGTTATCTATTCAGGAAATATTTAGCCAAATATTTTACCTTAATTTCAATGTCAAGATGGAGATACTTGCTAAAAACTAGAAGTGTTTGTTGTATATCATGGTATATACCATTTGTAAAGTGAGTTATGATCATCTTTGATGAAAAAATAACTGACAAAATGAGAAATAATGAGTTTGGTCTTAAAAATGCTTATATTCTAAGCTTTAATTCTGTATTAATGTTTGATATTATTCTATATTAATGTTTAGTTTACCAGTTCTTGTCCATCAGCACTAACCTAGGAAGCAAAAGCTTCCTGGTAGGTGTGTGTATATGTGTGTGTGTAGTATCTAAGTACTATTACTTTTATGACTGGGTGGTAGGTTTTTTTAAATAATGTGATATTGAGAAGTGGCCTCCAAATAAATCTATTTTACTAGAATTGCAAAAATTTTTCAATTCCATAGCTTGACTTCTGTATTTTTTCATTTCTGGACCTTATAATCTATATTCTAAGATCCTTTGGTGTGATAGAGGTGGTTGAAAATTAAACTAGAGGATATGTTTATTCCTCCTTTTATGTATACATCCATGAATTAGAACTCCAGATATTATTTTATCACTTAGTATTACATAAACAATATGTAAAATTAATTATCCATATTTGAAACTTAAAAGCCGTGGTCCCCAACCTTTTTGGCAGCAGGGACTGGTTTCATGGGACACAATTTTTCCATGGACCCCAGTGGCTGGCATGGGATGGTTTTGGGATGATTCAAGTGTGTTGTATGTATTGTGCAGTCAAACCTCTGCACTAATGTTGTGTATTTGCAGCTACTCCCCAGTGCTAGCATCACCGCCTCAGCTCCACCTGAGATCATCAGGCATTAGATTCTCATAGAGTGTGTGCAACCTGGATCCCTCGCATGCACAGTTTATAGCCAGGTTTGTGCTCCTATGAGAATCTAATGTCACCACTGATTAGAAATGGAGCTCAGGTGGTGATGCGAGTGATAGGGAGCAGCTGTAAATGCAGCTGAAGCTTCCCTAGCTTGTCAGCTGCTCAACTCCTGCTGTGCGGCCTGGTTCTTAACAGGCCATGGACTGGTACTGTTCCATAGCCCAGGGATTGGGGACTGCAGCTTAAAAGTATCCCAGAACGTACATGACTATGTTTATTTCTATGGAGGCTACCTATACTTCCCAGCCACAAATGGCTATTTAAGTTAATTAAAATAAATAAAATTTAAAATTCAGTTCTTTTTTTTTGAGACAGAGTCTTGCTCTGTTGCCCGGGCTAGAGTGCCGTGGCGTCAGCCTAGCTCACAGCAACCTCAAACTCCTGGGCTCAAGCGATCCTTCTGCCTCAGCCTCCCAAGTAGCTGGGACTACAGGCATGTGCCACCATGCCCGGCTAATTTTTTATATTTTTAGTTGTCCAGATCATTTCTTTCTATTTTTTTGGTAGAGATGGGGTCTCATTCTTGCTCAGGCTGGTCTCCAACTCCTGACCTTGAGCGATCCACCCGCCTCGGCCTCCCAGAGTGCTAGGATTACAGGCGTGAGCCACCATGCCTGGCCTAAAATTCAGTTCTTCACTGATACTAGCCACATTTTAAGTATTCACTGGTTACATGTGGCTAATGGCTACCATGTTGGAGAGCATATTTCCATCATTGCTCTGTTGGACAGCAATGGACTACATGGACCTGGAAATTTACTCTTCTTTAACACTATATAGGGAATTGCTTAATTTTGAACTATTAATGTCTGTTTTGGCATCCTTACAGAGTGGTAAAGTAGTTATCCAAAGAATAGAATATATGTCCAAACTTCTCTACTTCAGTTTTCTTTTCTGTATATCTCTACATTAAATTTTTCCAGTTCTGGTATTCTATGTTTCCATGTTCTAATATTTTAGCATTACAATCTAACATCTAAGCTAGGGTTACACCAGAGATTAGCAACCCTGCTGCTGCTTCTATGCAAAGTTATGCCCCCCTTTTTTATAACAGCTGTGAGCTATAATTCACATACCATAAAATTCGCTCTTCTTAAAGTATACAGTTCAGTGGTTGTATATATACAAAATGTTGTGCAGCCATTGCTACTATAAAAATTCAGAACATTTTCATCACTCCAAAAAGAAATCCTGGGTGGGACCCAGTGGTTCACGCCTATAATCTCAACACCTTGGGGGAGGCCAAGGTGAGAGAATCGCTTGAGGCCAATAGTTGGAGACTAGCCTGGGCAACATGCTGAGACCCTGTCTCTACAAAAAAGTTTTTAAAAATCAGCTGAGCATGGTGGTGTGCGCCTCTAGTCCCAGCTACTCAAGAGGCTGAGACACAAGGATCACTTGAGCCTAGGAGTTCAAGACTTCAGTAAGTTATGATGATGTCACTGCACTCTAGCCCAGGCAACAGAGTGAGACCTTGTCTCTAAAAGAAAAAAATAAAAATAAATCTAAAAAAACAAAGAACAAAAAGAAATCCCATACCCATTAGTAGACACTCCTCTCTCTTTCCATGCCCTGGCCACTATTAAACTACACTGTTTCTATGGATTTGTCCATTCTGGACATTTTGTATAAATGGAGTTTTATAATATGTGAACTCTTGTGTCTGGCTTTTTTTCCTTAAGGTGTTTTTAAGGTTCATCCATGTTGTATTATGTATCAGTATACTTCGTATTCCTTTCTAGGTCAAAAGTATTCCATCCTATGGATTTATCTTTTATCCTTTAATCAGTTGGATGTGAGTAGAATTGCTGGATCGATATATTTTATGTTTAAATTATTAAACATAATTCTGTGTTTGATATTTTAAGGAACTGCCAAACTATTTTCCAAGGTGACTACCCCATTTTCATTGCTGCCAGCAATGTATAAGGATTCTAATTTCTCTACATTCTCACCAACACTTGTTGTTTGTCTTTTTTATAACATTATCATTTTTTTTATTATTGCTGTCCTGGTGGGTGCAAAGTGGTATCATACTGTGGTTTGGATTTGCATTTTTCTACTGACTAATGATGTTGAGCCTTTTTTCATGTGCTTATTAGCCATTTGTTTATCTTCTTTAAAGAAATGTTTAGTCAAGTCTTTTGCTAATTTTAGATTGGGCTATTTGTCTTTGTTGAGTTCTAACCCAGTTCTTTACATACTTAAGTCCTTTTATTAGATATAGGACTTGCAGATATTTTCTGTTATTCTTTAGGTTGTCTTTTCACTTTATTTGAATAGTATCCTTTGAAGCACAAAAGGTTTAATTTTGACAAAGCCTCATTTATCTGTTTTCTTTTGTTTTTTTCTTCTGGCATCATAGCTAAAAAGAAATCGCCTAACCCAAATTCACAAAGATTTACTCCTATGCTTTTTTCTAAAAGATTTATGGTTTTAGCTTTTACAATTAGGTCTGTGATCCATTTGGAGTTAAGTTTTATGCATAGTGTGATGTAGGGATCCAACTTTATTCTTATGCATGTGGTGCATGTGGACATCCAGTTATCCTAGCACCATTTCTTATAGAGACTGTTCTTTACCTATTGAATTGTCTTGGCACCCTTGTCAAAAATCAGTTGACCATAAATGTAAGGCCTAATTTCTAGACTCTCAGTTCTATTCCATTGATTTATATGTTCATCTTTATGCCAGTACCATGCAATATTGATCACTGTAGCTTTTTAGTAAGTTTTGAAATTGGGAAAAGTCCCAACTTTGCTCTTCTTTCTTCAGGGTGACATGGGTTATTTTTGGTTCCTTGCATTCCCATGTGAAGTTTAGAGTCAGCTTGTCAATTTCTGTTTTTAAAAAAGATAGCTAAGATTTTGATAGGGGTTGCATTGAATCTGTACATCAATTAAGGAGTATTTCCACCTCAACAATATTAAATCTTCCAATCCATGAACGTGGCATGCGTTTCCATTGATTTAAATTGTCTTCAACCTTTTTCAGTGATGATTTATAGTTTTCAGTGTATAGTTGACCCTTGAAAAACTTGATTTTGAATTGCATGGGTCCACTTATACACAGATTTTTTTCAACCAAACCGTGAATCAAAAATGCAGTATTCACCAGATGCAAAACCCACTTATATGGAGAGCCGACTTTTCATACAGATGGGTTCTACAGGCTTGGCTGCAAGACTTGAGTATGTGTGGGTTTTGGTATATGTTGTGGGATCCTAGAATCAATCCTCTGCATGTACCAAGGGACGTCTCTATGTGTTTGTTCTGTTCCTTTTGTTCAATTATTCCTAAATATTCTTTTTGTAATTAGAATGTATTTGTAATTGGACTCATTATGAATTGAATTTTTAAAATTTCATTTTCAGATTGCCCGTTATGAGTATACAGAAACATAATTGGTTTTTGTATATTGATGTATCCTGTAGCCTGCTGTATTCGTTTACTAGCTCTACAATAGATGATGCTAGAGAACTTAGAAAGTACTAAGACTTAAAAGGAAAACTTTCTTCATTTTCCAGGAATTGTAGCTGTAGGGTACATTAATGAAGCTATTGATGAAGGGAATCCTTCGAAGACTTTAGAATCCTTGCTGCTACCTACTGCTAATATCAGCGATGTGGACCCAGACTGTGCCCAGCACTACCAGGATGTTTTATACCATGCTAAATCACAGAAACTCAGGGTAAGTTTTAGTGTGTTTGTTTCTTTTAAATTTACAGATTGGGCGGGAGGGTAGGAGGGAGGATTTTTTTTACCTCCTCATTAAATCTCGTGAGCTTCTTGTCCCAGTGATTGCCCATGAATCAGAATGGAAGTGATAGGGGTATTGTTTTCCTTGTGCCAAACATCAGGGGGAAGACAGCTCCAGAGCTGATTATTGCTTCTATTCTTTGACTAAAAACTCAGTTGTGGGTGAGTTCTTGTTCGGAGTCCAATTCATTGGATATTTTCTGAGTATATACTGCATGCACAGTGTAGTATGCAGCTTCTGGTATGGAAGAAGGGGTACAGAAGGGTGATGCCATTTGAATGTTCTCTAACCTTATCTTCAAAATGCTTAGAAATGCACTGAGGCAGTGGGCATCTCATATAGAACAGTGAAATAATAGGAGAGATAAGTATACAGCAAAGTGTCCAAACAGGTACACATAGAGGTGCAGAGATGGTTGGGCTTGTTGGGGACTACAATCCTAAGAGAAGCTGGTGTGGAGGTAGCGCAGGAGGTGTGTCTGGAAGGTAAGCAGAGTTGCTTGGGGGTGGGTGGAGAGCAGCATGGTGTGGGCAGGTAATGCAGTGCTAGGTGGACACCACCAGCATGGTTTGATCTGGGCATGGGAGCAGACTGGCCTGGCCAGAGTCCTCTTGAAGAGCCGTGTCTTTTATCTGGGTGCAGAGCTTGTGCTGCCATTATGAGGTGTCCCACAGAGACTTTCCACTCTGAGAAGGGTACTGGGCTGAGTATGAGGCTGTAGTATGACCTGTCACCTGAGAGGAAGTGATTCCATCTGGGACTAGCCACTTGTGGCTACCATGTCCCCAAGTGCAAACCCACCTGAAAGGGGTGGGCATTTCCTCTGTCTACATCTTAAGAGCTAGGAACTGCCTCATCTGAAACAGAAAAACATCCTTGAGAACCTTAAATAAAGCAAATATTTATTGAGAGCCTACTATTTGCCAGGCATGATATTAGGTATTTTATGCTTATTATCTCATTTAATCCTCATAGCAATTCATAACAGCCCTCTGAATCATTTTACTATCATTATTGTCATCTTTCTGAAGGTAATTAAACCAAGATTAAGTAATTTGCCCAAAACCATTAAAAAGGTAATTAGTTCTGGGACTACAGCCCAGGTCTGTCTGATTTAGAAACATCGTTCATGAAGACAGATGGGAAAACATGTTTCTTGCAGCTTTGTTTGCAATAACAAAAGACCAAAACAACCTAAGTGATGTCAAGCAAAAAAAGCATGCTTGCATGTGCATAAAAATGGAATACGTACCCACGTGTGTGTTGAGGGGCATATACACACTTATGTATGCATAAGGTATTTCTGAAAGGAGGGTACCTTCTGAAAGGTGAACTAGAAGGCTGGTGAAAAGGAGACTTCTTTTTCATTGTTTTTTTATTGTTTGAATTTTTAAATTTTTTAAAGAATGCATGTATTATATAGTGTTTCTAAACTTCTAGAACCCGGTATAAATCCCATTCACTCCGTGCTGCCACACTGCCTCGTTGAAGCTGGAGGGAAACAGCCCCCACAGTGGAGCCCTCTGTGCTGCTGCCTCTGGCAGGGACAGCAGTGGCATTGCCTTGCCCTCTGTGCTTTGCGAGCACTCCCACCTCCCCTCAGTCTTTCTCATTTAAGCCTCGTAGTGACGGTGGCGTGGCTGCTGTCTCCACTGATGTGAATGAGCCTGGGGCTCAGGGTGACAGCGGGGCCAAAGTACTGCCAGTGAGTGGGAGAACGAGGACTCAAACCCAAGCCATGTGTCCCCACGTCCCAGGAGAGGAAGGTAGCCACCTTCTTGCTGTTCTCACTGAGGTGGCTGTGGCAAGTAGCAAACTTAGCAGCACTGGAAGAGAAAGGTACTTGCTTCAAATCCTGCATATGCCACAAATGGGCTATGTGACCTTGGTCAAGTCACCAAATCTCTATATGCTTATTTTCTCGTGTGTAAAATGGAAATAATAGTACTTGTCTTACAGGATTATCGTGAGAGTTAAATGAGAACATATAACATGTAAATGTATTGTAAGTATATGTATATTTGTGTTTGTAGCTATAGTGTTTAGCATGGAGCCTGACACTCAAAGAAAAGCGTTTAAATAATGTAGCTATAGTATTATTGTGGGCCCTGTGGCTGCCTCTCAAGGGGTGAGTGATGTCTGCGTCACAAAGTCCTTACTAGGTACAGGGTCTGCTCCATCCATACCAAAGTTGGGATCTTCTGGGAGCAGGGTAGAGACAGACCTGGGTTACTTTCTGCCCACAGGCATGTGGCGGTTTGTCTTTGAGGTGAGGCTGACTCCAAACACCCAGGGTCTTTCGTAGGCAGGCAGTATAAGTCCATTCTGGAGCATTCCAATCAAAGGGCTCTAGGATGAGACAGAACTCCATAGGACTCCTCCAGGGCACTCACTCTGCCAGCTCTGTGTTGGGCATCCTTCCTGTGTGTAGAAGGAGTAGCAGCTTTCATGGTGTGATGAGAGCATTAAACTTAGAACCCAAAACCTAGAGATCTGGGTTCTAGCTCAGGCATTAAATCACTTTTGACCTATAAAATTGGGGGCTTGGAAAACATTGGCAATTGCCAGCAAATTTAAAACACTATAATTCCAAGCAATAAATCATATCTGGTTAAATTGATATTTTTAAGGACAATTTTCTTTCTTAGTACATTAATTTTAAAACTTTGTTTTCTCAGCCTGTTCTTTTTCCTTTGAAAAATCTGATTCTGTTGTTTGTTTGACAGGGTCTTTGTGATTGTTTTTTCACCTCTGCTACTTTGATTCCTGGAAATTTCCCATTATGTTTTTATGGTGGCTTTTCTGTGTCTTGCTTTCCCAAGGTCTGGCCTTGGAAAATAATAGGAGAAATTTATGTTGCTGGTATTATCAGTATAAAGTAAAGCTTGTGCCAAAGTATGAAGCCATTAAAGGTCACAATGGGTAACATCCTCATAGAATGGATGCTTAGTTTTATCGAAGACTGGGGATAGTGATGTAAATTCGTGAGGATTCTTGGTCTTCTAACACTATTTCAAGTACAACCTTATATAGGCACCAAATTCCTTTTGCCCCTTGGGAAGAGACAGGGTAATGGCATTGGCACATGTTTAGCAGAGTACAACACATTTTCTATGTCTGTTCGTTGCAGGAAGTGAATTGTGAGCTATTTTAAAATTAAAGGCTTAAGAACATAGGAATTACACCCCACCAAAAAGTTATGGGGGTTTTTTTGTGTGTTTTTTTTTTTTGAAGGATATTTTAATTTTATTTTTTAAATTTATTTTTTTTAAATAGATTTAGGGGATACAAGTGTTTTTTTGTTACATGGTGGAATTGTCTAGTGAAGTCTAGGCTTTTAATATACCTGTCACCTGAATAGTGCACAACGTTATCCAATAGGTAATTTTTCATCCCATACCCCCCACCCACCTTTTCCCTTCTGAGTCTCCAATGTCCATTAAGCCACTCTGTATGACCATGCATACCCATAGCTTAGCTCTCACTCTTAAGTGAGAACATATGGTATTTTTTTTTGTTGTTCCTGGGTTACTTCACTTAGAATAATGGCCTTCACTTCTGTCCAAGTTGCTGCAAAAGACATTACTTCGTTCTTTCTGATGGCTGGGTAGTATTCCATGGGTGTGCGGATATGTGTGTGTATAGACACCATGTTGTCTTTATCCACTCATTGACTGGTGAGCAGTTAGGTTGGTTCCATATCTTTGCAATTGTAATTTGTGCTGCAATAAACATATGGGTGCAGGTGTCTTTTTTTTAATAAAATGACTGACTTCTTTTCCTTTGGGTAGATCCCCAGTAGTGGAATTGCTGGATTGAATGGTGGGTCTACTTTTAGTTCTTTGAGAAATCTCCATGTTGTTTTCCTTAGAGGCTGTACTGATTTACATCCCCAGCAATAGTGTGTAAGCATTCCCTCTTCCCTGCATCCATGCCAGCATCTTTTTTTCAACTTTTTAATACAAGTTCTATTTTGTTCCTTGCATATTTACTCCATAAAAATTATGTGCTTTTAAAAAGTGAATATTGCTTTATTTTTTCCCTAAGTAAAACTGTATTGTAATTGATGACTTAATTTTCAGAAATCAGTTCCTTGTGGTGAAGTTTTTGTTATCTTGAAACTTATTTCAGATTTGTTTTCTTGCTCACTTTAGTGTTTACCTGATTTTCACTCTTCACATAATCATACACATACTGTAAAGGGTCTTCATGTGCAAGTTTTTTTTTTAATCTAAGTTCAATGAAATAGGAAACTGCACATTAAAAAATGCTTTTAAAATGGTTTTTTATTGTTTTGATGGTCATTACAAAGTGTATAGCCAATGCACATTCCTATGGACTTGTAAATTCATCTCAGCAATCCTTTATGCTTAAAGGTTTCCTCAACCTTGCTTCTATTCACTCCCACCACCCACCCTTAACCACTACTGTCCCCCACCTGTCTAACTAATCCCTAAGTTAAGGGAAGCATAGCTACCTACAGGAATATACTATTGGGCATTTGTAATAACATACCATTTCCCCGTTAAAAATGATGTTTAAGGAAGAAAAATACTGGATGCATTATTTTAAACTTCTAGATGACATTATTTTTTCCTCATTTCTTTTTTAATTTACCTAAACCAGGAATGATGATGTCCCATGTCATACAGAGTATGTTGCCTTTTCAGTACAAATTTAATGGGCTTTCATGGTGTTCAGATGCTTTGGGATTTTTAAAATTCATTCAACCACATGATATGCAAAACATGGAGCTGGGCCCCACGGAGCCTGGGGTCAGCAAGAAGCTCAAAGAAGAGTGGGGACAAGCACCTTCTACATAGTGCTTAATTGTTCATGGAATTAATATTTTTATATAAATGAATTATATATAGCTGTCATAATAAAATGTGTAAGAAAGTACTTTGGAAGTTCAAATGAGAAAAGTGACACTGCTAGCCTGAAAACCAGGGAAGAATGGTCCTTTGAGGACTTCAAGATGAGCAGAATTAAGGCAAAGATGTTAAGAACTAGCTTTCCAGTCAGAGGAAGAAGCAGAGAGAGAAAAAGTCAAGATCACAGCAGAGCAAGAGATGTGGCCGGTGCCTACGTTACAGGCAGTCAGGTTAGAAAGTTAGTCCTGAATGCTAGGCTTAAGGTTTATAATTGGTTGCAGAAGCAGTGGAGAGTCGGCAGAGGCTTTTGAGTGATGTATTCAAGTCGGTATCTGAGGAGCATGATCTGGCAGGACCTGTGAAATGGAGGGTAGGTTGGCAGTGAAGAGAATGAGGAGGCAGCAACGGTGGGACTGGGATAACGGACCCCAGTTATCTACGAAGATAGAGTCAGCTAGTGAGGCAGCCACCAGTGGGAGAGTCGGAGGAGACAGAAGGATCAAATATAATGCCAAAATTCAAGGATGGCAGTGCCACTCAGAGTTAGGAAGGCAGAGGTTTAAAGAACCAAAGTAGCAAGAAGGCAAGGTGGCAATGTGTCTGTTGCCATAAAGAGAGTAACGATATCTTTTCTTCTCATTAACATTTCTTAAAATATTGATAAAGTGTTTTAAAAAAACAATTACTAGTGCTTTTGTAATGTTTGATTTTTGAAGCACTATATCTTAGGAGCTCAAAAATGGTGCTAGAGAATAGAGCGGCTCGCACTGTGCATACGTCGTCCGAAGAACGTTTGTCTTCCCAGATAGCCTTCCTTGTTCTCTACGATGGTTTCATTGCTGTAAGGTAGGCAGTGGAGTGATCCTTGATTTTTGACATTAGAAAATAAAGGAAGGGATCTAAGCAACTGTTCAGGCTACCTAGGCACAAAGCTATGAGATAGATAAAGTATAAGCCATCAGTGCTGTCGTAGTAGTAGTTCGCATGGTGAATAATAAGTATAATATTGCTTGGAGCAAAGCAAATAGTAAAAATCACGAGGATGAGGAGACTTGCCTTGACATACCACAACCATCTGTGATCGTACGCATTTAGTGTCCGGATGATGGCTGTGTAGCAGTAGATAATAACCACAAACGGAATTAAGAATCCAAAGAATGCTAAGGAGACGAAGTAGAAGAGTTGGAAGAGCGACGAGGACTCGCATGTGTTGTGGACATCATGGCAGGTGGTGATATCTGGCTGGACAAGATAATACTCCTGCTTCAGGATGAGAAATGGCAGCATGTATAAGAAAACCGTTGCCCACACCAATCCGCATGTCAGCAAGGCGTAGGTGCGCTTGGGCAGCCCCCGGTAAGTGAAAGGATGGACAATGGCCAGATAGCGGCTGATGCTGATGCAGGTGAGGAGCAGAATGGAGCAGTACATGTTCCCGTAGAAGATGACTGTGGTGGCCCGGCACATGACCTCTCCAAACACCCAGTTGTTCCCATTGAGATGGTAAGCTATCTTAAAGGGCAGCGTGACACACAAAAGAAGATCTGCAATGGCCAGGTTGGTGTAGAAGACAGCCGTACAGACGGATCTGGTCCTGAAGAAGAGCATCCACAGGGTCACAGCGTTGGCTGGCACACCAACTACAAACACCAGGATGTAGACAGCAGGTATCAGTTTGGTACTTAAGGAGCTGCTCAGGTACCCAATGGTAGCATTATTCACAAGGAGATTTGAAGCACTTTCTTCGGGGCACTTACTTTTTACAGTTAGGGTGTCTTGTGTTCTGCCTTCTATGGCAGAATGGGGGAACACTTCAAAAGAATTTGGGGGAGCTCCACGAAAGGTCTTAATAGGTAAAGTTGGTGTTGCCGAATTGTCTGCATCATCTTTCATGCCTATAAACGAAAGGAAGTATTAATATGTGATTCGTTGCCAAGCCCTATCTGTGGTTCAAGAGAAAATAAAATGAAGTGTCTTATGCTATATAATTTTTATGGTTACAGAATTTAGGATCGTTTTTATTTTAAAAAATCATTATAGATAATCAACAAGCATGTGTTTTAGTAGATATCATATGCCCCAGCACCATGCTATCCCATGCAGGAACAAAAACTAGATGAACACTGCTTGTAAGGAGTTTATAATACTATTGGAAGAAAAAAAATAACCCATGAGAACATTATAGGCAAATGTTATGTTGACTACAAACTGTGTAGGTATTCAGACAATAGTCAACTGATTCAGATGTATGAGCAAAACTTCAAGGAAAAGATAAACTTGAGCAAAGATAGCAAAGTGCATAAAGAGATGGAACTTCATAGATGAATAAGATTCTGCTGGTGATGAATGGGCACAGGCATAGTGTTGGCTGTCATGGGATCTGGGGATACCAGATAAGTTGATTTAGCAAATTTTTATTGCATATTTATGTGCTAGTGGTATAAAGTTTTAAATGAGCTCCATTCCTGTTAATAACTTTGACTAGTGGAAAGATGCATAGCAGTGCATTATATTATGCTAACAAGGTACACCTGAGAGATGAAGTTGAAACAGAGTAGGTGACAGCCAAATTCCTGAAGGGCCCCTAAACTGTCCTATGAAATCATGTGCTTATTCTTAGATACTGGGGTTGCATACACACTTTTGAACAGAGGAATTACCATTGTGGTAGACAGATTAATGGTCCCCCAAAGATTCCACCTGCTAATCCCTGGAACCTATGACTGGGTTGCTTTACATGGCAAAAGGCACTTTGCAGATGAAATATAACTAAGGATCTTAAAGGTGAGATTATCCTGGATTGTCCAGGTGGGTCCGATATACTCATGAGCCCTTATAAGAGGGGAGGCAAGAGGATCAAAGTCAGAGGTTTGAAGATGGACGAAGGGCCATAAGCCAAGCAATGCAGGGAGCTTCTAGAAGCTGAAAAAAGCAAGAAAGCAGATCCTCCTCTAGAGCCTCCAGAATGAACGCAGCCCTGCCAACACCCTTGGTTTTAGGATTTCTGACCTCCAGAAATATAAGCTAGTAAATTTGTATTGTTTGAAGCCACTCAATTTGTGATAAGTTGTTATAGCAGTAATTAGAAACTAATAGAGCCATGATTTTGAGTTGTGTTGAAGATGACTTTGGTGACACAGAATAGCTTGAACTTAGAGGCAAGGGGGCCTGATCTGACTGTAGTCGTTCAAACTAAAGATGGTGCGTCACTCAACTAGATCAATGTTGTGGAAAGGCAAAGGAGAACACGTGAGACCCTGTGATGGGGACTCCAAGGCACTTGGCATCTGGTTGGCTGTGGGGTGGTGAGGGAGAGGCAGGGGGCAAAGATGACTTGCCGGTGGGGGGGCTGCCATTAGCTGAGGTGGGACAAGAGACAAGGGAGCAGGATGGGGGAGAAGCTATAATCTCGGTTTTGGGTATTACTGAAGATGAGTTGCCGGTGGGATATTACTGTGTAAAATATCCAACAACTAGTTAGATAGAAGACTAGATATGGAGCCCCAAATTCCAGGAGCCCAACTTAGAGGTGTGGGTTATTCTCATCTGCATGGAGGCTACAGTTTAATTTAGTAGGAGTGGTTGAGATGGCCTAGGGAGAGATAAGAAAGAATCCAAAGGCAGACTTTAAGGAGAACAGAGACAAAGGAAGAAAAATCAGAAGATGAAATTGCTTATGATGTCCTAAGAAATTGGAAATGAAGTTTTGAAAGGATAGAAACACATCAGCTATAATGCTATAAACATTTGGCATTACTTGGCATGTTGATGTTAACAATCCTAATTCCTGAAAGGGCAATTTCAAAAACAAAGTAAACACTAATGCTCAAACTTGTTTATTATTATATAATTTTTTCATAAATTAATCTTTGACATGTATAGAAACTATTCTCTGAAATTTCTAATGTTACCTTAAAGATGGACTTTTATGCTCAATATAAACCTCACACTTACCACTTTAAAATGCCCATACTCTGCCAGTTATGTCTTGTCCCACAACCTCTGAATTCCTCCGAGTTGAATACTGAGGTTAGTGTGTAGTAACCTCTTTGTCATTCAGAACCAGTTTCCCTTCCTGCTTTAATCCCCAGCTGTTTGCTCACAGGTGAAATCGAAGCCTCCCTCATAACCCTGGGATCGCACAGGCTGCATTCAGTGTGTAAAATACAGGAAGTGCAGCCTGACAACCGGGCATGAAGCTGATCAGGTGTCAGTTAAGGAAAGGTAGATTAAAGAAAAGGAAAGAAAAGTGGGGAGGCGGCATTCCTCTGTGCCCATATTTAGATGTGATCTTTAAAGGTGTGTCGTGTGACATGAGTTCAGCCACACAAACCCTTCCACTCACTTACGCAGCTTAGAAAAGTTCTTACATCTGACGTGACCCAAAGAGAAATGCCTTTGAAGACAGGAACAAAGCTGGAGAATGGTGGCTGCAGAACATACAAGTTGTTTCCCTTCAGGATCTGATAAGGGCTGTTGAAGTCAAGTGTTTGTCAGTTTTCAGAAAATTCCTGTGATTGAGCAAGATTGTGTGTCTACAAACATGCCGAACAGCGCCTGTGTCTGTGGAAAAGCTCAATTGATTCCATTTTCCGTGAGAATTCCAGATCTGGTTCTGCTTAAATAAGCTTTTCATTCCTTAGAGACTGGTTTTGCTCAAGAATAGCACTCATTGTTAAATTTTATTTTTTGATGTATTTGAATTCTTTATACATATTTCCATTTGGCATAAGATATCTGAAACATTTTTTCAACCTGGGAAAAGGCCTTGGTGAGGGGCTAATGCAGAGAGGGGACTACAGCTGCTACGTAACAGATCTTTACTTTCTCCCTCAGCCCCTGTGGAAGAAAGCAAATGCATTGCCTTTTACTAAGTCTCTTTAGAGCCCCCTTTTTCACTGCCACCAAACCCCAGTAGCTCCTTGAAGGAAACACCTCCACAAACCTTGTTTCTTTTGCAGTTCTGCTGTTCAGCATTGAGGCTCGTTCACTCCCAGAAAGAGCAGGCACTTATCCTGTCCCTAAATCCTGCATGTGCCACTGTGGTCCACCATGGGTTCTCTTAAAACTCTGACATGCCCAGGGATTCCAACTATCCATTTAAGCAGCATTCCTTTACAGGGCATTGTTTTTCCTTTGATTTTGGGTTTTTTCCCCTGCTGTACCCGACCTCTCGCCCTCCTAGCAGTGTCGACTGGCATATGACGTAACGGTGAAAGGACGGTGGACACAGACCTATCCCAAACTGGTTAATTTGGGAGCAAGCAGATTATTACAGGCTAACGTTGTGATTAGTAAAATGGGAAGCACATTCGAGATTGAATAGTAGTGTTTGGGAGATCTTATTTCTAAAAATAAAAAGTCATACATGAGGATGAGGAAACTCCCTGGTACCACAGAAAGTCAAAGAAGGTATTTCATTTTGGAAACACTGATTTATTAGCATTGCTGGCTACTGAAAGCAGATGACTTGCTCTTTCCGGCAATAATCTTGTTTCCCCCATTTGTGTCTGACCAGGAGGTATAAACATAGGATGTTTTCTTAATCCCTTGAAAAAGGGCTATCTTTGCTAAATCAGAGGAAATTCTTACAAACCACAAAAATGTCTTACAAAGAAAATTGCTTCTTGACTTAATTGTAGATATCTAAAATCTTGAATATGCCACCAATTTTTAAATGTCAGTGGAGAACAGAGTCTTTGACAAGAGTTGAATAGAGTGAACAAACTGTAGATATTCACTTCTACGGTTCTACCTTTTAATAACTAAAATTAAACTGTGCCTTTGGGGTTTGCAGTTTGTGTGAGATGTAAAGAAAATTAGGTTCAGTTGAATCTTCATTCGTAACACAAACCAACATCCCCATCCTACCCCACAAGGAAAGAACTTACCGCTTTGACAAAAAGAAGGCACCAGAAGCAGTAGTCCAGCAGCTGCAAAGATGAGGTCTTTCATTTTGATGAACTGAATCCTGTTTCCCAAATGTTGTCAAATGTGTAAAATCATGGAGCACAGATTCACCCCAGTTCCATGTGTTAGCAGCAGATGAAAGCCTTGCTCTGTTGGTAGAAGTATGCCCTCCTGCGCTGTGCAGGCAGGAAACATGCCCTAGCCCTCTGCAGGGAAAGGATGTGACCCACTCGCTGTTTCAGTGTGCGTGACTCAGGCCAAGCCTCCGAGCGTGTTACGTTACCCCTCAGAAAGTTATTTAACTCTTACCCACCCCTGGCAATTTGTTCTGCACAGATGCTGTGATTCTCACCCAGTAAATTTATGTGCCTTTGAAGAATGGCAGAAAGTATACAGCCTTTTATAGAGCTAAGCCAAAAATAAATGCCGAGTAGCAGTTATTAATAGTTTTGAATCTGTCCCATTATCTCATTTTTAACTCATTTTTTAAAATACAGTTCCAAGGTGTAATTTCTACTTAATAATTGAGCTGTCAGAAATTATCCTTTTCTTTATCCTCCCAACTATTTCAAATCTTAATTCTTAAACATATTACATAATTATAAATTAATTAAGGAAAGCAAACTTTTTAACAAGTTAACATTGCTTGAGTACTTGATTACTTTGAAAATTCTCCATCAGTGTCAAATGGGTCTGAATTTGTCATCAGTGAGTGCCTGGCCAGAACTTGATTTTATATTTGTTTTGAGGGGGGATTTGAGAGGGTTGGGATTCTTTTTTTTTTTTTTTTTTGCCATAGCTCAATCTGTTTTGAGCCTTTCAGTAACTATTGAGTCAGATAACTGGCAAAACCTCCCAAACAACACTATTTGATTAAACTAAAATCATAATGCAATATTGAAATGCAAAGGACTCCCTTTATTCCATGAGTGTTGGTGAGTAAGTCTGAATAAGATTTTTTTTAAATTGTGATAAAATATACATAACATAAAATTTCCCATCTTAACCATTATTAAGTGTTCCGTTCAGTAGTGTTAAGTACATTCACATTGTGCAGCATATAAGCTTTTATGAGTTATATTCTGGAGCATATGATTTAATATATAGTAAAAAACTTTATTATAACAGATTTTTTCTGTAATTAAAAAAACCTAAGATTAAACTAGAAACCAGACAACCCAACATCTTGCTGCCAATAAAATGCAGCAAATTTCACAACACTTACAGGCTGAGGGATAAACTAAGAAAGGAATTAATCTGCGGGAACTTTCACATCCTTGATTAAATTTCATCAGACCAAGAATTTCACAAAGGTCAGTGTTTACTACTTCAACTACAAATACATGGTTACGCAAACTAAGATAGAATGCTATTGTATAAATAGGGACAAAACCCTGCAGAATATTTAAGGTATTTTTTGTTTAATTAAAACTTTTCTACAAGTCATCTAAATGCAGGAAGTTATCACTTGATTCGCACATGGCCTAGTTTCTAGTCTTGTCATTCATTTGTAGTTCTTACATTGAACCTGGCTGCTTAGCTGTGGTAGAGATGGGGCCATCCCGTAAATATAGTAGTATTTCCAGTCTTCTGGTGAACAGTCGAAATAGGAGACTTTACTTGGCAGGATTTGATTTTCATTCTTGGTTTTATCTTTAATTCTAGCAGTCTTTACTTCAGTGAGTCATGGTTTAAACCGTTGACTTAAATTCATTGATTTGCAAAGTCTCTCTTTAGTTTGGCTTATAACACAAACACTTTAAGCTTTGAAGTGGGATTGTAATCACTTTCTCGGTAAAAGTCTGCATGGTGCATCTTCTACAGTGACTAGTCGTGAAGGAAAGCACAAATACCCTTCAAAAAAACTGAGGCAGATATCAATGAACTTTTATAGAGCTTAGTATTTAGCCTATACCTGGGGTGTACTGAGTTCTCTTGGGGCTTGGAAATAGAGAAAAAAGAGTTCCTGCTTCCCTGTCTCTCTCTACCTCTTCTGGTCTTCCCCTTTCCATCTTGCTTCCTGTTTGAACTTCCCCCCTCCATTCTTGAAAGAAATGGAAAACCTTACTGACAGCTGATGGTTCCCACGTGGCCTGCCGTGTAGCTAGAGATGATTGTGGAAGCAAGTGCCAAGCCTTCCCCAGAGGTTCCCTTTGGCCCGGATGTTGCAGGATGAAACAATAGAGATTCTGTCTCGTTTTCAGAGCTCTTTCCACATGCATTATCTCAGGTTAGCCCCTGAGGGAAGTAGAGTTAGAAGCCTGCCAGAGGAGCTGGGGACTGTTATTTTTCCTTCCTGCCCCCATCCATCCCGAGTCCTAAATGATGGAGTTGGTTCTCCAGGCTCCAGTGTTGGAGTCTTGTCTTTTCATTCACCACAGTCTTTTTTTTTGTTCTAATACAAAAAATGTATTTACTAAGAAGCATTCAGAATGTCAACAAAACAGCTGCAACTTCTTTTTTTGCAATTACAGAGTGGTATTCAATTAACAGAACAACAATTATTTCATATAAGCTGCATCAGAGACAACTGAAGATGAAAAAACTGCCATCCCCATACATAACTAATTTGTGCTGTACACCAAGAACAACCTGCTTTAAATTTCCATGCTAATTTACAACCCGCATACTGTACCAGGCAAGGTTAGTGGCTATTGAAAATACCACCAGACAGGGCTAGCTAAAGACACATTCGGTAGTGTGTTAACTATACACAAAAGACACTGTACAGTTTAAAAACAAATCTTACACAGTCTTACATTTCAGTTTTTTTCTTTAAAAGGAATGAGTTGTATACAGGGGGGTTAAATGCTTTGCAGACAAGAAAAAAAACTGTGCTAGAACCAACTTATTCATCATCATCATCTTCATCTTCTCCATCTTCTTCCCCCTTTTCCTCCTCTTCCTCATCTTCCTTTTTCTTGCTTTTTTCAGCCTTAACGACTCCCTTTTTTGCTGCATCAGGCTTTGCTTTAGCTCGGTATGCAGCAACATCTTTTTTGTATTTTTCCTTCAGCTTTGCAGCCGCCTGTTCATAAAGCTGCTTGTCACCTGCAGCCGTGTCATTCCACATCTCTCCTGGTATCATCTCCATATCTCTGCAACATCACCAATGGATAGGCCAGGATGTTCTCCTTTGATTTTAGGTGATACTCAGAACAGAACAAGAAAAAGGCCGAAGGAGGCCTCTGGGATGCATTGAGATCCTCGACCTTCTTTTTTGTTTCCGCTTTAGGAGGCATATAGGTTTTCATTTCTCTTTCATAACGGGCCTTGTCCGCCTTTGCTGTATCTTCAGACTTTCCTTTCTCTTTAGCAGACGTGATCTTCCACCTGTCTGAGCACTTCTTCGAAAACTCTGAGAAGTTGACTGAAGCATCTGGGTGCTGCTGCTTGTGCTCCTTCCGACAAGTTTGCACAAAGAATGCGTATGATACGTTTTGCCTCTCGGCTTCTTAGGATCTCCTTTGCCCGTGTTTAGTTATTTTTCCTCAGCGAGCCGCCCAGTGCCCATCGGGCTCTCACTTGCCCTGGCGCTGTCTCTGTGGAGCTCAGTGTGCTGCAGTGGCTCACTGCAGTCGTGACGTAGGATTTACAACACATCACCCATTCATTCCTATGTATAGGTAGCAAGTTCCCATTTTTTAAATGGAATGTCACATCTTCCCCGAAAATATTTCTACTGTTAACAATTGCAATATTGGACAAGTATTTATAAAACAGTTGCTACCTGGAAGCCCCATTTAATGTATGCCAGCACTGCTTTTATAGCAGTATCATCGGAATCAACTCAAAAGTAAAATAGTAAAGATAATTCAGTATGTTTTCACTGCTGCTCTCACTTCCTTTCTGAAACTGTGCTTAACTGCTTAGTCTTTTCTCCCCCTGCAACTCAACACCTTGCCAAAGGTTAATCCTTCCTTGCCTATTTCTGGATTATGTATCTACAGCTAATACTGCCCTGATCACATTGTGTTATAATTTCCTTGACACATCTGTCTCTTAAACTAGGCCATTAGCTCCTTGAGGGCAATCACCGTGTGTTTGGTTTTGTCTCTGTATCTGATAAATCCAAGTATTACTGTGTTTCCCTCAAATTTAAAATATCCCGTGGTACTGTGGGGCACCCCTTGGAACATAGTTTGGGAACCAAGGTTATTGAACGACTCGGGGAGAGAGTATTTGACTAGGGTAGCCAGGAAGGACTTTTTGGAGGAGGTAGCATTTGAGTTTAGGCCTAAAAAATAAGAAAAGGCCGGCAGCCATGCAGGTAGAGTAGAATGCTATGGTCTGGAGGAGGCTGCTGTGAAGTTCTGACAGGGAATGGGGAAGTGGAGGGTGTGAGGTGAAGCCAGAGGGGTAGTAGGCAGGGACACATCATTAGAGCTCCACAGTCTGGCAGAAAGGAGTTTGTGCAGGGGGAAGCTTTTGGGGGAGTGTAAGCAGAGGAGTGATGTAATAAGATGTCCATTTTGAAGAGATCATCTGGTTCTCAGTAGAGGACAAACTTGGAAGCAGCAGAAGCAAATAGACTGAGCAGCTGTCCATTGGGAGATGATGGTGGGCTGGGAAGAGTGGTCAGATTTGGAGTCTGTTTCTTGTACAGTATAAGGCAATGCTTGGTAGCTGATTAGTAAGAATTTGTGGAAATTACACTAAAATGGCTCCTGAAAAGCAGTTATTAATCCTGTTTTCTCATCATTCACTGTTCTTTTATCCTATGACATTGTTGACAGGATCCTGAGAGTGTTTCTAAAATTCTTTGGCTGGATGAGATACAGCAAGCCATCAATGAGGCCAACGAGAACAAGGACAGAGTGAAACAAGGTAAGCACGTGGCGCCTTTTGTTCATGAAACTTGCTTTGCTTGTATTTGGTATGTGCCTGAAATCATTTAATTTTTAACTTCTGGAAAGATTTGGACTCTCTTACCAAGGTTTAGTTCTTGGTAAAAATTAGTTGGTTGCTCTATTTTCAGTGATTAGATGCTATCTCCAACAAAATTCGATAGTGTTGCCAAACAAAATCCTGAAAACAAAAAATGCTTTCTAAGCTCTGAAATTTTATGATTGAATCAAATTCTTTTTTCTCCTTTTCCTTGGAAAACTAGCCCATTTCTCCTTAATAAATGTCTGCTCTCCTTTCCATGCCCCTCATTGTTATTGGTCAGGGTTTTCCAGAGAAACAGAATCAATAGGATAGATCTAACTATCCATAGGTAGGTAGATATACACATGTATATACATTTACATATAGAGGGAGAGAGTGTATAGGTATTTTAAGGAATTGGCTCACTAGACTAAAGAAGATTGCAAGTCCAAAATTTGTAGGTCAGGCTGGGCTGGCAGGGGCCAGGTGTCAGCACTTAGTCACTCAAGGTGAGTGAGTGTGGTTACTGTAAGGAGCGGTAATTTGAATAGCCTGACTCACAGAGACCTATGGAATTGGCTAATTGATCATGGCACTCCTAGAAGTGAAACAGACTGGTAAGCTACTCAATTCGTACTTAATCTATACAAGTAGAAGAGTTCTAGATCAAGTGAACACAAGTCTAATTTGACTCATCAAAACAAAGAGTCACAGCCCCTCAGTAAATTCCCAGACTGAAGCCAGTTTACAAACCCAGAAACCCTCGAATAAAGGGGAGGCCAGTCCCTTTGAGGAAGGACCCTACCACATGACCAGAAATTTATACTGTTAATCTTCCAGACTCTCCCAAAGGAACCTGTGGCCTTTTATCAGGGTGACTGTGCTTGGTGAAAGGGACATAACCAGACTTTTCAGGGATTACTGGTCACTGGCTCTGAACTGACACTAATTCCAAGAGACCCTAACTATTACTGTCATCCGCTAGTCAGAGTAGGGGCTTGTGGAGGTCAGGTGATCAATGCAGTTTTAGCTTGGGTCCGTCTCACAGTGGGTCTCCAAACCCACCTTGTGGTTACTTCCCCAGTTCCATAGTACATAATTAGAATAGGTATAATCAGCAGCTAGCAGAATCCCCACATTGGTTCAAATGATGAAAATTTTTATTTTATCTTAACCCTCTATTTTTAAGGAGGAATAGTACGAAACTGCACACAACAATCTGAAATAGCTTCTAAATTGATATACTAACACTCCATATTATGAATACCCTACATAGATTAAAATAAGATTCCTAAAAGTATAGTTCATTAACCTGCCAATTCATGGCATAATTAGGATTTCTTCTATTGTATCAGATTAGCGTGCTCTTAAGATGCCTTAGTATTATTCCACTGATGTGCTTTTAACTTTGGAAACATCTGTGAGAAACATCTGGTTTTTATTTTCTTAGCTCAGAAAAATATGTCTATTTCTCAAACCCAAACTTTTATACCCTTAGGAACTTTGAAGTCTTTCCTTTCTAGCACTCTACTCCTTAAGGAAAAAAGTAATAAAGTCGAAGTGTGTAGGTAAGAGATTTAAATATAAAACTGAAGGCAACCATGGTCTGAAGAGACATTTTTAAGAAATTAGATTGTAATGTAGATATCCAAATAGCCTAAAGCGGTTATGATTTTTCTCTTAAAGATCAAACCAGTTTAGAAGTTATTTTATTCCTTTTATTCATTGTTCTTCTTACATTTGGCCTGCAAATGTTGATTCTGTTTTTCACATTGAAGACTCATGGCTCTATTGACTATGAAAGTGAGAGATTTTCTCAAATGTGTGATTTTGGACTCTATACTTACACATCTAAAATCCCATCTTCTCTCTCTGTCCTGTCTCTCTGAAGAGTTGATATATTTTCTTCTATGATATATACCAACAACAAAAATTTTCTGAAGTTAAATCTATCTATATTCTGATGTCAAGAATTTTCTGGGTCGGGCACAGTGGCTCATGCCTGTAATCCTAGCAATCTGGGAGGCTGAGGCGGGCGGATTGTTTGAGCTTAGGAGTTTGAAACCAGCCTGAGCAAGAGCGAGACCCTGTCTCTACTAAAAATAGAAAGAAATTAATTGGACAACTAAAAATATGTAGAAAAAATTAGCCGGACATGGTGGTGCATGCCTGTAGTCCCAGCTACTCGGGAGGCTGAGGCAGAAGGATCGCTTGAGCCCAGGAGTTTGAGGTTGCTGTGAGCTAGGTTGACGCCATGGCACTCTAGCCCAGGCAACACAGTGAGACTCTGTCTCAAAAAAAAAAAAAAAAAAAAAGAATTTTCTGGGTTTTCAACAGGAATTTAATCTTACTTTTAGAAGCATTCCTTATCCTTTGTATACAGACTTGAAACAGATTCTGGTCACATGCTATAAGCATCAAACATGCTCCCATATTATTTGATGAGAGAAAATGTGTTGGCCCGTATATTTTACCACAAGCAAAATTTAAAAGGGCAGAGTAACCAAAGTCTCCTTCGTTTTGGCCTAGGGTTCACTTTCACTGGAGTATCTTGCTTGCTTAAAGTAGATTTGCGTCTATTTTTGACTCCTTAGAGCAATGTTTCACAACCTTTTTTTCATTATTGCACCCTAAGGAATCTTTTTAGACTTCTTTTTGCCTAATCACTCCTTACCATGAAATTTTAATGCCACAGATATAGTGTATACCTATTTATGTGCCATATGTAAAACTTACACATAAAAGGATTTTTTTCATTCCCACCCCACAAAAACCAATTTTTGCACTATTGGGGGTTGTAGTGCTTGCATTGCAAATGCATGCCTTAAGAGAGCCTGCTGGTATGGGACTTAAGATAAAAAGCAAACATTTTTTGAATCTCTTGGGAGATTTATGGGAGGCTTTTTAATTTGTTCCTTAGCAGAAACATCCCTGACTTTCTGGAGATCATTTAACATCTTCATCTATTTAGAACTTAACTACAACCCAGAGATTAAGTAAAACAATCCAAGTAAATGTCCCAAAGCCTGTACACTGGAGCTGATCTACTTTACTTACTGGGGACCCCTCAGACTACAGTTTGAGCCTGTTGATTCTTAGGCTTGACTCTATTATAATATCTCTGGTTGTCTCTCTTCCTGACTCAGAGGACATCAGAAGCCACAAATCACAAAGTGGAAAGTGTTTGGCTGCCATAGGCAGGCGCACAGATGTCAGTAAGAAGTGGTAGTTAGTTGACTGCAAAGGAAGAGGGAAAAGCTAAAAAGCGTAGGAGTTCGAGGCCATTTAGGGTGGAGAAAATAAGCCCAAACACCTCTGTAGTCCTCAGAAGTATCACTAACTATATTATAGCACAGGACAATTTTAATGACAAGAAGGACTCTTCTGGCAGCTCTTAGCAGACATTAAGTACCTACTGTGTACCAGAGACTGTGGGTAGAATGAAGAGCAAGATAGCAACTGTTAAGGTATGTTTTAGAGTTTTGTTGAAAATGGTTCTATTAAGATGAGAACTGGTATGTAAGGAATTAGCCTCAGTTATCCGGGAACTGGCCTGTGGACCAGCTCCTCGCACATCAATACTCAATTATATTAATATGTGCAAGAAATGTGTGCCTTTTCTAGTATCATCTTTTGAAGAAAATAGCATTTTACTGAGTTAGTTAGATGCAGCCATCATGTGTAATTCATGTGAGAATTCTGCATCGTTTACTTGTTACTTCTGCTTCTCTCAGACCACAGACTTCTCAAATGCTAGGACTCTATCTCTCTCCATCCCGGAGAAGAGGAGAGGAGCATGGTTCACCCATTCCCTCCTAATCTCTATACGCACAAGAACGTACTGCTGTACCTTTTGTTTGGCCACCGTTGGAGTGTGCTAGAGAAGTTCTCCTTTAGTCTTCATGTGGCCCTCCAGATTTGCATGGCTTTGGCTCCAGGATGCTGGAGGTTGAGCTGTTTTTCTTGCCTCTTCAGCCCCCATTGTGCTATGCGCATGTGAACATAGTTTGAGTACAGCAATGTCATTTAACACGTGTAGAGTTTGTGTGTGTAAGAAAAAATATCCATCTCTTCCCTCTTTTCATTAAGATCTTTTTTTATCAAGGAAATATTTTAACCTGGCTTCTTCCTTTGATTGGTTTTTGTTTGTTTGTTTTTTGTTCTACATTTCTAACTCACTGTATTTACAGATTGTGAAAACGGTAGTTCCGTTGGTTGGGCCACAACATTGTTACCTGGAACTGAAGGGATAATAAAGAATTCACTAAGTTAACTTTTCTTTAGGCAACCAAGAGTTCAATATGGTTTTGTTCATGGGGACAGCAGATATTTACAATGGGATAAAATGCTTGTTAGGTCTAAATTGGTTTCAGAGTCAAGTTTCTGGACTCCACTACACATGGGCACTCCAGCTGTGCCCTTCTAGAACATTTGTCAAAGTTGCTTATGACAGTCTTGCCACATATACTACCACAATACAAGAGAGTGCCAGGATTTCCATAGCTTAAATAACATTTTTTTTTTTTTTTTTTTGGAACAGAGTCTCACTCTGTTGACGGGACTATTAAATAACATTTTGTTTATCTTCAAATAGATGCCTTTGTAAAGCTAGTACTCAAAGACAGATATTAATGACCTAGGTCAGGGCTGCCCATCTACTGTTGTTATGCATTCACCCCATTTCATAGATTACTACAGCAGGCAAAACCTAGCAGGCAAAACCTAGTGCCTTGATACTGCAAAAGAATAACCAGGAAATATTGTGGTTTTTAATAAACCATGTTCCCGTGGAATCTTACTCTTACACAACCTAAACTGATAGATAAGTTGGTTATTGGCTCAGGCATATGTGGTACATAACAAGGTTTAATACTAATGCATTCCTAAAAGTTTGAATTACATATTTGCATGCCTTTGAAGTAAAAGATAACCATTGACAAGAAACATTTTTTTTCTTATTACCCAGGTGTTACGCTGATCGTTGATGTTAATCAGTGTTTGGAGGGAAAAAAATCAAGCGATATTTTGTCTATATTGAAGTCTTCTGCTTGCAATGCAAATGACGTAATCTCTGAATGTGCTGACAGGTACTATGAAGCCCTTGAGAAGGCAAAAGAGCTCAAAACTGAAAGAGGTGAGTTTTTATGTTACTTAGCACAAACTAAATATTTTAAATATGGTTTCTGTGGTATTATAGTTTCTTAATTTTAAGATAACTGTTGCTTTCAAGTGAACATTTCTGAATTTTTTCTATCTATGGCAAAGGAAATTTTTTTAGATTTTTGTTTGTTTCTTTCTTCCTTTCTTGGAAGAAAAAATTGGTGATGGGTTCAGTGGCAATGCATGGGTAGCATCATAGAATTGAGATAATATGGTATTTGAGGAGGCTTTGCCTTACGTATGTCATGCTTGTTGATCCAGTGATATAAGCAAATTTTTACAGTAATATTTCTCTCAGTTAATCCTTTGTGAGACAAATGATATATGATTACACAGTATTAAATAGGAGAAAAGAGTGATTTTTGAATATGTGGAATAAAGTACAGTGAACTGGTCTGCCAGAGATCAGCTGGCAAATAGTTGTGCCCACTCAGTCCAATGGCAGATCCTGAAATGTCAGCTCTGGACAGTATCTTTGAAATCATGCAGCTTAATACTCAAGTCTTCAGATTTGGAAACTGCCATTGAGATTTCCAACAGGGGGAGAAAGTGACAGCCCCACAGACAATTAATTTCAACCCATCATTCCTTTGGTAGATTTTTATTAAGCATCTACTATGTCTTAGTATCAAGGATCAAGGTATCTCTCAACTTCTAGACCGGTGTTTATTTGCATTGCATTGTAGGTCATCTATACAATACTATATTCATCTTAAAGAAACTACTATGATAGTATATGGCCTTAGAGGTGGAGCTTCCAAAAAACTTTAGTTCAACTGGAAGTTTGTCTTGTAGTACCCTATGTGCTTACTTTTAAGTCTAACATATTTGCAACTTGGAGATTATACCATCCAACTCAGCAAATCTTCCGTTAATGAAATGACCACTCTTTCACTTGGCATCTGGTCACCCTTGAGCCCTTCTCTGTTCCATTCCGATCTCTTCATCAGGAATTAATGTAATCTCCCTGCCTTACCCTTCTTTGAGAAAGAATTGCACAACCGTGTTAATGCAAGGGTTGAATTCCTAGATGAGCCATCACAATTGCAAATCCATCCTGGCCCAAACTTAATTTATCTTCTGTCTCCTAAATTTGCCTACTCTTCTTCCCATGTGTCATGTTTTGGTAACTGGAGTGAAAATATCCCCAGGGATCCAATTCAGAAACCTAGGAGGTTCTTTAGATTCAGTCTTCCAGAAGAAAAGAGAAAGCAGCTGGGATTTTGTTAGGGATTGTGTTGAACCTGTAGATCAATTTGAGGAGTATTGCCATTTTAATAATATTATCTTCTGATTCATATACATGGGGTGTCTTTCCTTTTAATTAGGTCTTTTTAAAATTCTTTCAGCACTGCTTTATAGTTTTCAGTGTAAACAGTTTGTATTTCTTCCTAAGTATTTTATCATTTTTATGCTATTGTAAGTATTTTTTCTTAATTACATTTGGGGATTGTTTATTACTAGTGTATGGTGTATAATAATTGATTTTTTATTGAAATAAAATTCACCCTTTTTAGGTATGCCGTTCAGAGGTTGTTAGTATATTGTCATAGTTGTGCACCCGATACCTCTAGTTATTTCCAGAGCATCTCCATCACACCAAAACAAAACCCCGTTCCTGTTAGCCATCATTCCCCCCACCTACCCGTCAGCCCCAGGCAACCACTAATCCACTTTCCGTCTGTATGGTTTTGCCTCTTCTGTTACTTTTCATTTAAAGGAAATCATGCAATATGCAGCCTTTTGTGTCTGTGTTCTTTTACTTAGCATGTTTTCAGAGTTCATCCATGTAGCCTTTTGTCATTCCTTTTTCTTCATTCCTTTTTGTGGCTGACTATTGTATTGTGTGGCTATGCTACATTTTGTTTATTTGCTCATCAATTGATGGAATTTGTATTCTCCTTCCTCCCCTACTTTTGGCTACTGGGTATGATACCACTGTAAATATGTCCAAGTTTTTGGATGTACATATCCTTTTCTATAATTAATTTTTGTGTATTTTGTATCCTATAACCTTGCTGATCTCATTCTAATAGTTTTTAGTAAATTCCTTGTGCTGCCATCTGTTTTTTTTCTTTCCTTTCTTTTTTTTTTTTAAAAGGATCTCGCTCTGTCACCCGGACTGGTGTACAGTGGCACAATCATAGATCACTGTAACCTTGAACTCCTGGGCTCAAGCCATCCTACTGCCTCAGGCTCCCAAGTAGCTGGGACTACAGGCATGTGCCACCATGCCCAGCTAATTTTTCTTTTTTTTTTTTTTTTAAGAGACAGAGTCTTGCTATGTTGCCCAGGCTGGTCTCCAACTCCTGGTCTCAAGCAGTACTCCCACCTCAGCCTCCCAAAGCACTGGGATTACAGGCATGAGCCACTGTACTTGGCCTGCCACCTGTTTTTCTAAGTAAAGTTTCGCTGAAATCCAGCCACACTCGTTAATTTATATATGATCTCTGGCTGCTTTTATTCTACAGCAGTAGAGTTGAGTAGTTATTTCAGAGACCTGTAGCCCACAAAGCTGAAAATATTTACTCTCTGGCCCTTTAAAGAAGAAGTTTGCTCACCCCTGTTCTAGAAAGAAGAGAAGCTTTCTGGGCAATTGATGACTTTCACCCCCAGATAGAGCTATGAACATTGTTTTGGGGAGTACACAGGATGATTTATTCTCTTCTCTCTCACCTCTGGTTCTAGGATGTCTGTTCTTTCCCTAACTGAAGTATCCCCTGCTAGGTGAATTACTCGGCCTTTTAGCTCCGTTTAGCCCTATATGTAGGTATAATTTTGTCTGGAAGGCATCTGGAAAGTATGCCTCCTTTTAGAATGTTCACTATCTCTTTTTTTCTTTTTTGAGACAGAGTCTCACTGTGTTGCCTGGGCTAGAGTGCCGTGGCGTCAGCCTAGCTCACAGCAACCTCAAACTCTTGGGCTCAAGCGATCCTCCTGCCTCAGCCTACCGAGTAGCAGGGACCACAGGCATGCGCCACCATGCCTGGCTAATTTTTTCTATATATTTTTAGTTGTCCAATTAATTTCTTTCCAGTTTTAGTAGAGACTGGGTCTCGCTCTTGCTCAGGGTGGTTTCGAACTCCTGAGCTCAAACGATCCGCCCGCCTCGGCCTCCCAGAGAGCTAGGATTACAGGCGTGAGCCACCGCGCCTGGCCTAGAATGTTCACTATCTCTTAACTGGAATCTTCCTCTTTTGTGTTTTCCTTAAAGGTCTGTGATTGGTCTTTTTCCTAAAAGTAACAAACCAACTACATTTCTTAGAAAAAATATTTGGATTCTGTGCTGGAAAGCAGCTCTTCTCAGCCTCTGATCTCACTATAAATTCAAGCTAGATATGACAGTGATAGGAATTCTCCTTTCCTATTACCCAGTCACATTGCCACCCAAGTAGAGCCTCCTGATGCCAGTGTGCTTGGCTTTTAACCAGCCTTTTTACTTCTCAGGTCAAATGATGGGAGGAACATTTTCACCAGTTTTGCTTGCCTTCATTTCTTCCCATTGAGAGAGTTGTCTTAAGAAGTGATTATTCTTCTGAAAGCGTTTATGAATCTGACAGCTATTGGTGATTGAAAATATAATAATTACTTGTGAACATCCTAACTTGATGTTCAATTTACATTGCATATTCTAGTATACCAGTGTTTCTAAACAGATGAACACTTTGTCTGCCCATTTGAAAAGAGATAAGTCTCTCCGTCTGGGCATTCACAAATAGAACATTTAAAGCCAAAAGGAATCAATACGTATTAAAGGGCCTTAATGTCACCTCTGTTTAGTTATTTGAATTCATTTCAATATTCTATGCAGAGATTTACTTGACCTTTGATTTACCTATAAAGGCAGTAAGTCTAATACTCACTTGGTAGCAGCCGACTTGGCTTAGTCTACATTAGAACTTTAAAACTTCTTTGTTTTTAGCTGTCTGGTCTGGCACAGGCATCATGACCGTTCAACAAAATAAAAAGATTTCTAAATATAAAGTATGGCTCATGGATTCGTGAGAAGGAGATGTACTTCTTGGCCAATTTAATCCATGCCAGACATAGGTTTTTCTAACACTCCCCCGACACACACACACATAAATCCTGTCAATATTTATTTTTCCTATTTTGTGTGGTTGCATAGAGTAAGATGAGTCAGAGGGACCAGGAATTTTTTTTTCCCTAGTTTAGTTGACCTTTGTGTTGTATATATGACATTTTGTACTTTGGATAAAGTCGTCTCCAGAGGTGAGTCACTTCTGCTTTGGTTTAATGCGGATCATTGATCCTTCTTAAATATGAGCCACAGTCCTTGTCGGTTGCTCCTTATTGGAGAAATTGCTGGAAGATTTTGTAAGCAAATGGGATTTTGCTCATTGGTCTCCTTTGTCTACGTGGATGTACACCACATGTAGACAATACATGTAGGCAACACTACATGTAGACAAAGGAGACCATGTGTTCAATGGTAGATGTCTACAGATATTGCTTTTTGCTTTTCCTTCTCTTTGGCTGTTTTTTTTTTACTCTTACTATCCTCATGAAAGATTTGAGATTCAGAGCTAGCATTAGACATTTGTCTTTCTTCCTTTTCTTTGGCTTAGCAGAGATCTGCCATTGAATTCATTGAATTTGTTCCATGTTAGCAGATCATTTCTAATGCCTTTAACTTAGGTCATCTGAATGTTTGGTAAAAAACATTTATTAAATTATTTTACATATTGAAGAAACTACACTACTGTTTAAGGATTCACTGCTTCTCTGTAGAATTTAAAAAACTTTTTTCTTTAGTGTCTAGTGAAGGTTCATGGCTCAAACTCACCCTGCAGGAGAAATATGACTACTATTATAACGTTGATTCAAAAGAGAGTTCCTGGGTCCTGCCTGAATCGTACTCCCATAAGGAATCATGGCTCACGGAAAAAGAAATTGAGGTAGGAGGCTGGTGTTGGATGGAAAGTAGTATTGTATAAAGATATGTGGGATTGGTTTTCTGTTTTTGAATCATTGAAATGATGAACTAATTGATTTATTTGAAGGCTGGCTATGGAATACAGTCTTCATGAACTACAGTTAAATGTGGCTGCATTGTTTCTAACTCTTAGAATTTTTCCCATATTGGCATAACAAACCAAATAGAGCAGGGAGAAGAAACCTTTTGCAGTTTATCTGGGATGGTAATTATCCTAAAAATCAAGCTTCAGGATTTCCTTGACACAGCTAAGCTCAATTAGTGACAAGTCCTCGGTTGTCAATATTCAAAATGTATTATTTTCCCCCCCTCTCAGCCTACAACTTAACCTTTGAAACCAAAATATCATTTGTTCCTACAAAATGCTAGAGAGGGCATCTCTGCCACAGCTGATCCCAGCCATCTCCAGGATGGCTTCAGGAGCAAAGGACAGAGTTGGGCAAAGAACAGGATGAGTAAACAAATGTTTGCTTCTTCTAAGATGATCTTCTCAGCATAGTTTCATTGCTTAACATAATTTCTGGAATTCTAGATGAACCTATCTCCAAATGTAAGTGCCAGAAACACAACTGAGTATATTTTATACTTGGCTTTTGATTAACTGACATAAAAATTAGCCATATGTCCATATGTTGTACTAACCAAGAGTTAAACATGCTGTAGTAAATCAGAATTTTTATTTAACCAGTAAAGATCCCTTTTAACTTATCCTTGACACATGTTTGAAAGCTTTTTTCTACCACATTTTGCTTATCAAAACCAATTTATCGGCCGGATGCAGTGCCTCACGCCTGTAATCCTAGCACTCTGGAGGCCAAGGCGGGAGGATTGCTTGAGCTCAGGAGTTCAAGACCAGCCTGAGCAAGAGCGAGACCCTGTCTCTACAAAAAATAGAAAAATTAGCTTGGCATGGCAGCACGAGCCTGTAATCCCAGCATTTTGGGAGTCTGAGGTGGGAGGATCACTTGAGCCCAGGAGTTTGAAGTTGTAGTGAGCTATGATGATACCACTGCACTCTATCTGGGGCAACAGAGTCTTAAAAGCAAAACAAAAAAATTGATCCCTCCTCCCATTCCTTTTTAACCAAACTATATAAACAGTACCTATCTGAGCTGCTTGTTAGGAGCAAAGAAACAATGTGTTAGTTAACATACACAGAATAGTTATTGGCTGTTGGAATACTTAATATGTTAAATATAGGAAGAAGAAACACATTTAGAAGAGTCTACATTAGAATCTGGTGCTCAAATGCTTTTTCTCGTTATATACAAGACTGGCTTAAGTCTTAGGGCACCTACTAATTTCCTCCCATGTGCCTTGTCCATTTTAGTCCTAATTCCTTCCCAAATATTCCGTTTTTATATGTATAGGATCCAAGGGCTATGTATTTTTTTTTTAAAAAAAAAACCCAAAAAGATAACTTAAGCAAAAAGCTATAAGAAAACATAGGCCAAAGAGCTCTTTTCAGTTTCAGTTCTAGGTCACTTAATTTCATTCATTTTTTAGTTCTCCCTCCCTGCATAGAGAAATGAGAGGAGCGTTTTGCCAATATATGGACCTCTCTGATCATGGCTGTATGAGATCTGAGTATTTATGTTCTTACACGGAAATAAGGAACTAGATGCTTGGTATAGAGTTCCCGAAACAAAAGAAGACTTAGCCATAAGCAGGTAGTGAGCCCAGCATGGCCTTCTGTGTGAGGTCGTTCCTTGCTTTGTCTGAGGTTGGTGGAAAGCCGTGAAGAAATGGCAGAGTAAAGTCAGAGGAATGTGAAACTTCTGAAATAAGTTATGGTCAAAAGCAGATAAGGTCTTCTGAAATCAAAAACATAGCCCGGTACCCCCTGCTTGTATAGAGTTTCACTTTCTAATGCACTTTCACATCATCTTGAGCCCTAAATCATTCTCTAAGTGAAAGTAGAGCGAATATTCTCATCTAACATTGTTATAGATGGGGAAACTGAGGCACAAAGTGGGTGAAGCAACTGTACTAGTTCTGCAGTTTGTACAGATTTCGTCAATGAATGGAGGCTTATTCCCAGTGCTCCAATTTCTAGTTTTGTATCTTTTCCTCTTTTCACATTGTTTTTGACACAGCAACCAGTATCTCTGAGTGGTAATATCGTTTGCCCATTGCTGTGGAATTAATAACACAAGTTAGAGGCTTGAGAAATAGATTTATTCTAACACAGATACACCGTTCCTTTAAAAAGTGAGTAATGCTTTCCAAGGGGGAAATACTCTTGAAGGAATGCTCACCAAGATTGCTTTGGACTTAAAAAGTTGGACCCAAGAGATAAGAAAATTGCTGGTGGATCCAGGCATTTTAATGTTTAAAGAGAAAATACTGACGTTAATTGAGTTCTGTTTTGGAAAAAAATAGAACACACAAGTACAGATCTTATAGAATCACTAAAAGTCAACAACATCAAAGATATCACGTTGTCACAGTATTGTGGACAGAATCACCAATACAGCATTTTCTAAAACTTAGAGGAAAAATGTGGCCTGAGTTTGACAATGCTACCAAAAATTATTGACTACAGGAAGATAGTGAAGAACGTTGTTCATTAACTAATTTCAGACATTCAAAGTTCTTATAATTTTTAAGGAAATGACATCATAGCAATGAATTGTTAGTGCTAATTTTTTAAAAGCTGAAATTTTGGACCTACTAAAAAATCATACGCCATGATTGAAAAGATGTATCAAACTTTAAAGAAGCAGCATCGAAGAGTTAAAATTTGGAATAAAAAATTGCTCATGTGGCATCCAAAGATGCTCCAGGTATAACTTTTTGTTATATTGAGCATCAATCTGTTAAGATAATTAAACAATGGAGGATCTAACACTGTAAAGAAACAAAAAATTGTATTTCTTCTGAACAACCTGAAGTTACTGATTTTATTCAATGAACGCACACGTGAGCCTTCTCTTAAATATGGTTATGCATCTTTTATATGATTTCACTTTTACTGTTTAAACAACTGTTGATCCCGGTTGCACTGGATAAGAGTCATCAGCTGAAGTGAATCCAGTCTTTGCTAGCATCTCTCAATGACCAAAAACAGAAACCCAGTTCATAACCCATGTAAAACCTTCTTATAACGTCCTTCTCCTTTTGTTCTCATCCCTCTAGATTTCCTGTCTGCCCTTGATAGCACTTGTCTTTCCTCTCCCACCGCCTTTCCTTCTGCCCCAAGCGTTTTGTTTTGCCCCAGAGCATCATTGTGAGTTCTTCCCCAGCTCGTTGTGGGGTCTTCCTGCTCTGGTCTGAGGAATAAGCGGGGGAAGGGAAGCCTGAGGACCTCAGAGGCACTGCTGTCTTTTCCTCAGCAGCCCCAGGGAGTGAGGAGATGATGCATGTTTTTACGGTAACCATCCTTATCCCTTTACGTTCTGTGGAGCTCAAGCCTCATGCCTGGTCCTTACCAGCATCATCCATACATCTTCGCCTCCAAATTCTGAGACCGTTCAGCCATGTCCACGTACCAGCTCAGCACCGAGCTCAGAGGATTCCAAAATCATGTCACTAGAAAGAAGCTAAGCCAATTCATCCCTTGGCTCTGGTTAAAATCTGTTTTTAAGCCAAGCCAAAAAGAGATATCCGTGTCATTTTCTAAAAGATAAACTATCCAGAAGCTATTTTATGTGCTCGTTTCACCTGATGTGTGACGTGTAACCTTAAGAAATATCTCTTGCCAGGATGTTATTGAGGAAGTCACGCTAGGTTACATTCATGAGAAGATGTGGTCTGCTTCAGAGGATTTGCTGCTTCGCTTTCGAGGCACAAGCTCAGGAAACGTCCTTATGGAAGAGTTTGAAGCTAGGAAATCATTTTTGTATGGACAAGAAGAGAATGTGGTCAAAATACAGGTATGTGAATCACCTACCACAGCTTACAGGAAACTGTCATATCCCCTGAAAACGTTTTGTTTGATGATAGGACACTCAACTACCAGCATCCTAATAAATCTGACTGCAGAGTTTTACTCAATCAGTGCCCTGTACTCTGTTTCACTAAGGCTTTAAGGTGGGCAGTGTCTTGATGAGGAATGACTTTTACTGAGGTCTTCAGGAGAATATTCAGGAGCAGCACTGTGTGCTTGTACCGATCCACCTGTGGCCAACCTAGTTGGAGCCAAAGGGACACCTCAGGATCGAAGGCTCGTTTCTCTAAGAAGCTGGATCTCCATGTGTTGCTTCTTACCTGACTCAGAGGCTTTGTGATTTGGTTTTCAGTGGTTAGTGGGTGTTCAGTGGCATATGAGTTTCTGTGCTCTTCTAGCCTGAAAGAACAGAAGAACTAATGAAATAAAACAGACTTAGCATCCAAGAGTATCTTCTTCCTTCCCATAATCTATCTTTCTTCATTTAGGCCTGCAGGAGAAATCCTTATTCCCAAAGTTTTTATTTTAAGTTATTCTTAAGCCTGTATGACTTGTCTGAACTTTCTGGTTGGCAGAGGAAGAACTTGCCAGATTTAGATGTTGCGTCTTTCTATCCCCCTAGCACCCTCTACCAACCACCACCCTGGCTTCTAGAAGCCTGCATGTTTGTCTTTTTGTGACATGTCCAAAGTGATACTTTTATTGACTGGCAGAGTTTGATGGAGTTTTACTTCAGCTAATAACTATAACATTTCCTAAATGGGAAGATTTTCTGTTGAACAGCTTCTCTTTTGTGGTCACTAATGAACTCATCTGCTTTCCTCACCTATCTGTAATGTCAAGGGAAGAAAATGAGTTTTACAGATATTTTTCTTCTTGTGTCTTGCATGTGATAGGTGCTCAAATGTTTGAATTTGCTCATTAAGATATTAGCAAGGCCGAAATGATAGATTTTTTAAAAGAAATTTCTACTACAAACCTGACACTCAAAGGATTTTTCCGGGTGAGCCGATGAGTTTTCCAGTTTATTCCTTTAAACAAATAGTAAGCAAAACACAGGAAGTGAGCAAAAGCCTAAAAATAGAATCATCTGCACTGACATTACAGCTCTAATTTTGCACCAAATTCAAAGCGTCAGCCAATGGGATACAGTTTGGACCAAGCCCCGCACTCTCCAGTCTCGGCACAGTGCAGTGTTGCATTTGGAAGACATGTTGAAGAGCCCACCAGTGTAGAGTCCTTCCAATACTAGAATCGGGGGCTGAGGTATGAGAGGGTTGGAAGGATGGGAATAATCATTTGGAGCCTTTTCTTTCACATCAGCAAAGGCAGCGGGATTGAAGAAGAAGCCATCAAACTGTGAAATTATCCCATCATGCTTTTTTTCCCCCACTCTTCTGACAGTTTTCTAACAAGGAGGGCATGAGATCTACAGGTAAGTCTACTTCACAGATGCGGGCCAGAAGTGAACAGAAATCTGCTGACCCATAAAACCAAAAGACCATGAACGAAGGATATCATGCCAGTCTCACTTCTCAACAAAGTGGCTAGTTTATCCTGAATTAGGGGAATGTTCTGATGTCTGAGATGTTCCCCTACGTAGAACAGCTCAAGATTCCTAACTGGCTGAGTTGGTCCCAGACATAGTAGTCTTAACAAATTTGTAGAGAAATAAAGAGACAAAGCTCCTAGGCCAAGGCCAGCCATACATAACCCAGCTACACCACCCTCCTCACCCTCAGTCACCTGCCTAGGGTCTGAATAATGATACAGAGAATGTGTGTAATCAACATCCAACCCTCTGTGTCAGTGCTTATGTAATGAATCAGAAGGTGCCCAGGTCAACATGGAAGGAAGTCAGGGAGAATCTACATAGTCAAATTATTTTTGAGCAGTTAGAAGGCACTGATAAAATTGCCTGAGTGAATCAGAAAAAATCTCATAAACAAAAAAAAAATTGTGTATCAAAAACAGAAAAAGGAATGTAACTTGTAAAATATAAATGGAGTAAAAATCTAGGCATGCTCTTCCGGAAGACAGAGGAAAACTTTATACTGAAACTGCTTTATGCTTGCAAGGAATTTAATAAGATGTAAACCTATAGAAACAAGAGAATAAAACGAAAAGGCAGCTGACAACTAAGGAGAGGAAGAGCAATAATGACATCACAGATCATAAATGAATTTATGACTACAGAATGTAAAACAGACTCTGGAAATAATTAAAAGAGACATGGAGAGCTTGAGAAAGACCACAAGAGCTGAGAGAAAGAAGAGATGATTAAAAACACACTTTCTCATCTGAAAGTTATAACGCCCATTTCAGTGTAGGGTTGCGAGGATTGAATGGGATAATTTCATAACAGCCTTTTCCCAGTATGTAGCTCTTACATGCTCAATAAGAGTTAAAAATCTCAGGGTAAATACTGGTGGTGAGCTTTTAATCCTTGGTACATTAAAAGAGTAATACAGAACAGACAAGTGGGGGTCATTTCACCAATGCAAAAATCATTCACTATTAGATAATCTGTTACTATGACAGGTTACTTATTCAGAATGTTTATGAATCTGAGTCAATAGAGACTAATGGTGTTTCTGGAGTTTAGATAATTCCAGAAGAGCAGAAAGAGAACTTGTGTTAATTCCAAAAATCTTGTTTTGCCTTTCAGTATGGACCAAGGAATGTGTAATAAACATTCACACAATTGCACTTCTGTGCTTTGAAACAGTGTTACCCACCAAAATATATGATCCATTAAGATCCATCACAACAAGTATGTTACTGGTCCCATTGCCGTGGAATCCCAGTGACCTGCAATTAGAGTTCACTTCCCCTAGTCTCTGTTGTGCTGTTGGGCCACTTTTTGTGAACAAATGTTGATGACATCACAGAGCAATTTCTCTCATCCTCTCAGAAATGCTACACCGTGACAAATGGCTTGGTAGCATTTTCTAAAGGGATGATCAGCTAAAAATCCTCTTTGGTTATTTATTCCTTAAAGTGTGGGCCTCATACTCAACCTAGAAGTCATTTCCTAGAAGCTTGTTAGAAGTACAAAAATCTGAATACCTCCCCTAGACCAACTGAATCTTAATCTGCCTTCTGACAAGATCCTCAGATGATTTTATATTCATGTTAAAGTTTGAGAAGCACTGTTAAGATTACTCCAGTTTTAAACTTCTGAATAATTGTCCTCCTGAGTAATTATTTATCACCATAAGAGCTTAAAGGAAGAAAACTTTCTCATTTCAATAGCTAGTGCAAAAGCATTCGATAAAATTCTATCTAGACCAATTCCTGATTTTTTTTTTAACGGTTGCATTGAAGCTTTAGTTTTTTTGAGGAGATTGGCATCTTTATAATAAAGAACTTTACAGTTCTGACATTAATATCTCTTCATTTATTAATCTTTCCCTAAGTATAGTATTATAATTTTATTCCTTTGTATTGGTATTTTTAAGGGAAATTATATTTATTGGTTGTGTATATATATATATCTTGTTTCAGAAAAGAAAAAAATGCTTAACTTAGAAATGAGGAAATAGTGTTTACTCTGTTCTAGGTACTATATGCTAAGCACTTACAGGTAAGAAGCCCACATCACACACGCTCTTGGCCTATAACTATGTATGTTTGCTTATTAAATTAGAAGTACTCTCTCAATTGTAGACAGCCTGTGCCTTCTGGCTCTTCTAGAAGTTTTACCTCTAGAAAGTCTCTCTGTCACAGCTTATATTAGTCTACTAGGGCTATCATAACAAAATGCTACAGGCTGAAACAACAAAAATTTACTTCTCACCGTTCTGGAGGCTCGAAGTCCAAGATCAAGGTTTTGGTAGGTATGGTTCTCCTTGGCTTGTAAATAGCCACTTTCTCGCTGTGTCTTCATGTGACCTTTTCTCTGTACACATGTACCCTGATGTGTCTTCCTCTTTTGTTTATGATTAACTTTATTAATTTATTTGTATATATTTATGGGGTACAAGTGCAATTTTGCTATGTTAATATATTGCATTGAGGTGCTGTCAGGACCTTCAGTGCAGCCATCACTGGAGCAATGAACATGGTACCCACCAAGCAACCTCCCCTCATCCATTCCGCCTACCCTCTGAGTCCCCACTGTTCATCATTCCATGCTCTGCTTCCACGTGTACACATTATTTTGTTTCCACCTATAAGTGAGAACGTGTGGTATTTATCTTTCTGTGTCTGAGTTGTTCACTTAAGATAATGGGTCCACACATGTTGCTGCAAAAGACATGATTTAATTCTTTTTTATGGCTGAGTAGCATTTCATTGTGAATATATACCACATATTCTTTATTCAGTCCTCCGTTGATGGACACCAAGGTTAATTCTATATTTTTGCTATTGTGAATAGAGCTGTGAAAAAAAAACAGTGCAGGTATCTTTTTAATATAATGATTTCTTTTCCTTTGGGTAGATAACCCTGTAGTGAGATTGCTGGATTGTATGCAATCAATCCAGAAGATCTAGTTTTGTTAGTTCTTTGAGAAATCTCCATCCTGTTTTCCATAGAGGTTGTACTAATTTACATTCCCACCAACAGTGTATAAGCATTTCCTTTTCTCTGCATCCTCATCAATATCTGTTATTTTTTATCTTTTTAATAAAAGCCATCCTGATTGGTGTAAGATGATATTTCATTGTGGTTTTAATTTGCATTTCTCTGATTAGTGATGTTGAACATTTTTTCATATGCTTTTTGGCCATTTGTCTTTTGAAAAATGTCTTCATGTTCTTAGCCCACTTTTTAATGGGATTATTTGGGATTTTTGTTGCTGTGTTGTTTGAGTTCCTTTTATATTCTGGATATTAGTCCACTATCAGATGAATAGTTTATAAATATTTTCTCCCATTCCACAGATTTTTCACTCTGTTGATTATTTCTTTTGTTGTGCAGAGGTCTTTTAGTTTAAAAATCCCATTTGTCTATTTTTGTTTTTCTATGCTTTCGAGGTCTTA